GCAGGAGAGCAGAGAGCTGCATGGTAACAGGGAAGGGGACACCCGGGAGCAGGAGGGCTTTGGCAGGTGCTAGTTGACTTCCTGCTACCTGAGGAAATGAACACTTAGATAACTTTCTGTCGGCTTGTGGGTTTAGAGGATCCTGCCAATGATCAGGTGGGATAATGGCTTTTATGTCTGCGGTAGAGGAGCTGGATGTGGTGGGGAACACACAGAGGGCAAACTGTTCACTTCAGGTCTTGATCCGTAGAGGACTACTGCCTTCAAGGACACATTCTGAATGACCGAACACCTCCACTAGGTTTCACTTAGAGATTCTAGCAGCACTCAGAAGCAGCACACTGTGGACGAACAAGACTTTAACATAAGGCATTCTGGAGGTTAGGATCCTAAGTGTAGCAGATGCTGAGTTCCCACCCAGAGTTCTTATAATAACCTGTGATAAGATAAAGGCTGGTCTAGCATCTGGCACCTCAGAAGGCCTTACTCTTGGATCCTGTGAGTTTCCCGTCATTGTCAGTGTTGAGAGCCCGAGGGAGGTCACTCAGCTGTGGGCTAGTCAATAAGGCCTACGCCAACCGGGCATTTTCTGTCTCTGCATTTTCTGCAGGGATTGAGCTGTGGTACAATGCACACTGTGCAAGTACTAAGTTCTCTAAGGCCTCTGAGAACAGGGACCGAGTCCTAGAGGCACCTGCTTCTTACTTGGGGGATGGGTATCTCCTTGGGGTACACACCACTGAGAAGAAGGGATGCAAAAATACTGATGCAGGGCTCCTTACCCTCACAGAGGCCACAGGTCTCGAAGCATTTCTGTTACTGCCATAGTGTATTGCTGGGAGCAATGAGAACAGTCTAGTAAGTAGGTCTTTAATGTAAAGTGTCTTCTCTGGACACCAGAATGGAGACATGAACATTGGTTTCTCATGGAGTAATTTGTTCCCCCTTTTGATGCAGAGACTTTGTGAGATGAGAACGGGCCCTTTGTTTATTTCTCCTTCTGTTCTTACTCATTGGCCAAAGCCATTGTTTTGGCTTTAAGTTATTTTTAAATTTTTAATTTTGAAAACCCCCTGCTTGCTGTCTAGGTGCTGGGACAGTTTGTTAAAGGGCAGCCAGCTTGGTAGATGGTAAGGTTCTGCAGAAGAGGGAACTGAGTTCTGTACCATAGGAAACTATAGCTGCGTCTGGCTCAGGCTGTCTTATGTCTGATCAAATGTCTTTTCTCTTGGACTAGGCATCTTTTCAAGCTTATTTTAAATTTAATTTTGTTTTATTTGGCTTAATTTTATGTGTATAGAGAAAAATATTGCCAAAGTTTAGGAAAAAGAGAAACACAGAGGAATTCAAATCATTTAGACAGAAATATGCCTTTTTTTTTAAAAAAAAAAAAAGTGTGGGATGCCTTGATTTGGGTCGTATTGACAAAGATAGACCTTAAAACTGTGGGATGCCTTCCAGCTGTGTCCAGCTGCTGAAAGGCTCTGTGTTCCACAGAATGTGGGCTTCCTTAAAGTAAGGACTTAAAGAAGCAAGGCAATGCCGTTAGCCTGCACAAGGTTCCGGTTCAGTCTCAATCACCATCTTCCAGGAAAGACTAAGAGTGTGAGGGGTAGAGGGTGCGTAAATAAGGGTGCCTGCTCTTGGGGGCATCGCCACCTGCTTGGTCCATCCCTAGCCCTGTCCCGGAAGCGGAACAGCTCCTCCTGTATTGTTCTCTTTTAATGGATACAGGGTAAGAGTGTAAAACACACAGACAGCCTGCGTTTACAATTGGCTTTTACAAGATGCATATGTTTACTTTACGCCATATAGGACTCTCCTAGAGGAGAAGAGGCCAGGTGAGATTTGCCATGCCTGGATAATGGTTTGTCTTATTAAGGGTGAAATGTCTGATGCTAATTCTGGCTGGTGGAAGAATGGAGGTGAGAAGGTGGCTCATAGTTCATTTCCCAGAGCCTCTAAGTTATCTCTGAAGGTGTTGGTTTGGAAATGACTTTGGCATTTCAAACATAGCGTTAAGTTCTTAGCACTGATAATTTAAGGATAAGTTTTGATGTCCACATGTGACTAAATTATGGCCACTAGCTACTTACCAGCTGTTGGAAAGCCAGCCACCTTCCCCCTTAACTTTTTTTTTTAAAGATTTATTTATTTATTTATTTATTTATTTATTTATTTATTTATTTATTATGTATACAACATTCCTTCCATGTATGTTTGTATGCCAGAAGAGGGAACCAGATCTCATCACAGATGGTTGTGAGCCACCATGTGGTTGCTGGGAATTGAACTCAGGACCTTTGGAGGCGCAGGCAATGAATGCTCTTAACCACTGAGCCATCTCTCCAGCCCCCCCCCCCCAACTTTTGCACCACAGCAATGAATACAGAGGATTTCTGTGACTCCTAGGAGTGTGGAACTTTCCCTATCAGGCAGCGGGGGTCAGCTCTGCAGCAGATCCCGGCCGGAGTCCTCTCATCTCATTCAGGTCCAACATTTTCTGTCTTACCGGAGCCTGTAGGCCAAGACCACGGCTTCCAAGTCTCTTCCCAACTGGAGGTGCCAAGCCACGGGCCCTGGTTGTTTCCCCCGTGCTGCCGATCCACAGGCTGTGGACAAGGCCCCCACACCGTTGCCTGGGTTTTGTTACGTGCATGAAGTTTTTGACTGTGGGTTTGCAGACCTGTGATGTGGGAGACAGCCCAGGTCTGTGTTTGCTTTGTTCTGTTCATAGACAGCACTGCCACTTCACGGGACCTCGCTGCCCAGAGGCAGCACAGACGTGGCCCGGTTGCCTTCCGTTTGTCTTTCTTGCTGTTTTGGTGTGATGAATGTCATCCTCTTTGTAACACGATCTCACGGTTATTACATAAACCACGTCCAGGCTTGACACAAAGGCCTTGTCTCCTCATTCTGTCTTCAGAACAACTGTAAGCTAAATCCTGCTGTCCACTGACCTTTTAGATAACAAGGCAGGCTCTGACCCACTCAGCACAGGAAGGCAATGGTCAGAGGTGTGGAACCAGACTTATTAGACCTCTGCAGCCCAGACTGTCATCCAACAAGCTGTGCCCAGTGGGTCCCCTGCAGGTTGGTTGGTGCCTGAATTGATAGTGTCCCCCGTTCCAGCTGCCACAGATCTGAGTTAGGGTGCTGGCTCTGACTCTTCGTCCTTTGTGACTTTGTGAGTTGATGAAATCCCCCAGGCTTCACGTGTCCACTTGGAAACCATGTACCAAACCCCATGCTCAGCTCCCTTCTCAGTGCCCTGGACAGAAGGACTGCTGTCATTGGTGTTGCTCATTATTAATGCAGTGTTTCTACAGCTTCTCCAAGGCTGCTTGTGTTTCTCCTGGAATGCCAAGCCCCGACCAGGGTGGTGGAGAGTGGGTACCCACGGTGGACCTCTGAGATGTTCTCCGCTGTTCCCGAGACAGCTCATGGTCTTTATAAGCAAGACAGAGCATTAATGCTGGACTTTGGGGGTTTGGAGGAGTCCAGTGAACTGCACAGCTACCTCTTCCGTGTCCGTTCTCCAGTGGGTGGAAACGTTGACGAGAGTTAGGGAGATGAGACAAGTCACTTTTATTATTAGTGCAGCTGTTGTTGGACATAGACTCAGAGGGAGGATTAGAGGAAGGGCATTTGATGGATCAGAGGAAGGAAGACTGGAATTGTGAGGCCGGTGGGGCCGGTTCTCTGACCCCTCGACAGATTGTGCTTTCAGGAAAGATCTAAAGGTCAGAAAACATACTAGTGGAAGACTTATGGTCCAGATGACAGGCTGGACTGGCTTTCTGGGGACTTTCGGTGGGGGGTGGGGTGGGGGTAGGGGAGGAAAAATGGCAAGATTCTGTTATGGAAAGCTATTCTGAGTCTCTAAATAAAGCATGCTCACTTAAGGGGCTTCCCCAGTTACACATCTCCGAGTTACGTAACTTTCAAATTAATTGTCTTATGTCTGTCTATCTATCTAATTCATCTATCTAGATGTTTATATACTTTGTTATATCTTTGTCATTTTTTTTTATTTACATGTGTTTGGTATGTTTTTCTACTGAATTAAATTGATCTATGACCATTCACTTTTAAAAATATTTATTTTATGTATATAAGTGTTTTGCTTGTATGTATGCATATATGTGTGTATAGCATGTGTGTGCCTGGTGCCCTAAGGAGTCAGTCAAAAGGATAGTCAGATCCCTAGAACTGGAGTTAAGGATGCTTGTGAGTCACACTGTAGGTGCTGGGAACTGAACCTGGGTCCTCTGTAAGAGCAGCAAATGCCCTTAACTTCTGAGCCTCCCTCCAGCCCTGTGACCTTTAAGGGAAATGAGATCACGGTCATGAGCAACAAGTGCTGAAATGAGTTTATGTGATTCTTATTCTTAAAAATATATACTGTGAACGATGGCTCATATCTATAATCCCAGCACTCAGGAGCCAAGATAAGAGATTTCCATGAGTTGAGACCAGCCTGGGCTGCATAGTGAGTTCCCTGCCTAGCCTGGGATACAGAGTTGAGTCTTTGTCTCAAAACAAACAAAACCAAACAAACAAAATCCAGACATAGCTGGAGATTAAGTCTGCCTTCGGGAGTTGGCCTGGCTGTGACACACTGGCCTTTTCCTACTGACCTTTAGTCTAACAAATTTCGGTACCAAAGTTTCTTTAAACCTGCTTTACATAAATGCTTTTCTTTATTCTGGGTGTATGAAGAGAGGCCTGTTACCTGATTGCGTGTAGAAAGAAACCTAGCAGTCCTTAACTGGGGCCCCGTTTATGTCGTCCTCATGCTGATGAGATCTATACACTTGATAAATGGTATATGAACTGTAAACTAAGAATGTATAAATCTTTTACAACTCTAGTTCAAATCTATCTGTAAGGGAGTAAAATTATATCTCTTGAGTTTAAAGTCAATGGCCTAGGTAAACGGCTGCAACATCCAGATTTGAAAATCGTATCAATGTCTTTCCTTTTCTCCTGTCTTTCAGCTTCTCAGAGAAACTGTTCACTGGAAAAGGCTTACATTTCCAGCCGTCGGTTCTAGATTTTGGGATACAGTAAGTACCTTTTTATTACAATTCATGGTGTTTGTATTTATTGTCAGCATATCTTCTTTATTTTTAGTTACGTATGTGTGTGTTGGGAAGGTGTGGTTATGTGCACCTGAGTGCATATGCTCACAGCAGCCAGAAGAGGGCATTGCATCCCCTGGAGCTGGAGTCACAGGCAGTTGTGAGCTGCCCACTGTCCCCTGGGAACTGAGCTCCTGTCCCTGCAAGAGCACATGAGCTGGGAACCACCTAGCCCTCTCTCTGGCCCCTTTTCTCAGTGTATCTTTTATATGATATATATAGTGTTATATTTTAAGCTTATTAATAATATAAAAGTATATCGATCCTACTTTTTCATGAAAAGGGGAGTGTAGAAGTTGTTTTTTAAGTTCTTTCTTAATATTTTGCTGTTTGCTTTGCTGTATGAGGGATTGAAGTTAGGATCTTGTTCATGCCAGGCATATGCTCTCCTACTGAGTTGTATGCTCAGCCCCGCCCCAGCCGTTATTTAATGATTTTCCTTATACTGTTTGATCGTGAGTAGACTTCAGTAAGAAGTCAATGGTAAGCCTTTGTTATTCTGGAAAAAGTTGGATTATTTCATAGTAGGAAAACTGGGTACTGATGGTTTGGGCAGAGGCAGTTTCTCTCCCTCTCCACTGTGACTTCAGCCTGGAAGTCGTATTCCGTCTGCAGTTGCTGGGGTTCATTATGGAGATTCAGGTAGAGAAGAGATAAAACCGAAGGAGACTCAGTGTTCAGAGCCACGAATGAAGAAACTTGGGCTTTGGGATCCTGTGAGGAAGAGGGGGAGGCGGAAAGGAGGCAGCCTAGAACCCTTGTCAGTGATGAGGTCAAAACTTAAACACTGTCTTAAGCTCCTTTTACGCAGAGGAAGGTGGCGTTAAAAGCACACATCTTCAGATTAGCCTCCTCCCAGCTCTGCATAAGCTCACAGGGCCTGTTCCTCATGTTAGTCCAGGCAGAGCTGGGAGGAGTTGCGTGGTGATGAGTGAACACGGGGCCAGTGGGCCTGGGGCGGCATTGTGTGTTCAGCTTCCATTTTTGTCCCTTCCGTCCAAGCTTCTGAGGGTTAGGACAACAGGGAGGACTGACGTGGAAATGAAATGTCTTGCTGAGATTTTTTTTTAAAGGCAAATTCTTCTAAAAGGAGGAAGAGATAAAATTGTGAAGGTATTTTGCTGACTTTACAAGATTCTAGGCACTGATTTAATTTCTTAGTTATATAATTAATGGCAAGGCCTTACACTGTAGCCCTGCTAGCTTGAAAGTTACAGAGATCTGATTGTCTCTGCCTCCTGAGTGCTGGGATTAAAGGCTTGTACTTCCATGCCCAGAGTATTTTGTATTGAATTATTATAGTTTTATTTTTAGATAAAGGAACTTGTTAAAAGTTGAATTTATACTCATTAATTGGTAATATAAATAAGGTGATTTATAATCTCACTTCTGACTTCAAATCAGGAGAGTAGTTTACACAACTTTTTTCCCTTAAGGAAATTGTGTGTGTGTGTGTGTGTGTATGTATGTGTGTGTGTATGTCTGTGTATGTACGTTTGTGTGTGTATGTATGTACATTTGTGTGTGTATGTCTGTGTATGTATGTTTGTGTGTATGTGTGTGTGTGTCTGTATGTATGTTTGTGTGTGTATGTCTGTATGTGTATATGTATGTCTGTGTATGTGTGTGTGTCTGTGTTTGTATATGTTTGTGTATGTCTGTGTGTTTGTGTGTGTGTGCAGTGCTGCTTTAGAGACCATAGATTAGTTGATATGATGAAATGGATCATGGTGAATGTCACTAGAGTAGGCAAAAATCTAATTTTTAGAATCCTGGTTGTCATTTTATTATTTCAGAACATAAAATTCTATATTTGAGTATAGGAGAGATGACTCAGTGGTTAAGAGCACTTGCTACTTTTTCAAAGGACTTTGGCTCAGTTTCCAGCACTAAATGTTTGTTATGCTAGCCCCGGGGGCTAAGACACTCCCTGATGGCCAGGCACCAGCTCACTGTGTGGTACACATACCCAAACACTCATATACATAAAATAAAACTCTATTTAAAAAAAATTCTATACTCGAAGCCAGGTGGTGGCTGTGATCACCTTTAATCCCAGCTCTTCGGAGGCAGAGGCAGGTGGATCTCTGTGAGTTCGAAGCCAGCCTGGTCTCCAGAGTGAGTTCCAGGACAGGCTCCAAAGCATTAATCACTGGTTCTGATATCTAAAAACTTTATTGAATGGTCATGTGAAGTCCTTGATTTGACAGGATTACTGATTTTTAAGACTTTAAATACCTTTAGAAGATTCAGTTAAATTATATAATACTTTATTATTTTTGTTGTGTAGTTATGTTTCATGTCATTTGAGTTGTGTTGCTTTGTTATTTTATTTGTTTGGGACAGAGTCTCATTGAATAACCCTAGCCGGCCTGGACCTCGGTAGACCAGGCTGGCCTCAAGATTGTGCCGAATCTCTTGACTCTGTCTCTGTAGGGCTGGGGTTGCAGATGTGCAGCCCAGCAGCCGTGGCTGCGTCCTGCACGGGCGACTTAGGCAGACATCACCTGAGCAGGCACCTCTCATTGCCAGGTGTCTTTGTGCTGGAGCACGGAACACAGATGTTTACACACTTGTTGCTGAGAAATACTGCAGTTTGCCAAGGGTTGGGGGGGACCAGGCTATTGCTCACGATCCTAGTTTTCATGAAAGTAAAATGTAGTCTGTTGTTTTCTTGAAATTAAAAATAAATAAAAAAAGAATCTCAAGACCAAACTTCATTCTAATTTCTAACACATTTTAAAAATTACATATTTTCCTTGTTCCACCCACCTGGCTAATTTATCGTTATTATTAGAATAGCCAGCAGCCAGCTCACCTGGATTCCCTCACTTTCCTGGCCCTTATTATTTTGCCCTTATTATTTTGATATTGACCTCAGGCAGACTGCATACTTTCTCCTGATATGGTTTCAATTTCAGATGCAGCATCGGGATCTTGTTACTGCTTTGTCTTCCTGGGCTCTTATTTTAAGGGTTAGCAGTTTACTGGTTCCAAGACTGGAAGTGCTAATCATTCGTACATTTTCATCATTCTTTTGCCATATTAAATTAATAGATTATCCTCCATTTGTCACTACCAAACGAAATTCATACCCTTCTAACACATGTAAAAATAGAATATTGAAAAGTAGACTAAAGGGCAGTGGTTAGGAGACTTCTGTCTCCCCTGGGAGGGATGGTGGCTGCCGTCCCCCTGCTGGGGAGGGCGCGACCCTCTCTCCTGAGTGCAGATCTCAGGCAGTCGTCTGTGTTCTTGGAAACCGGAACGCTTGTGTTCCGTTATGTGGATAGTGTGTAAAGCAGTGGGGAATAGTTTAAATGCCGAGTTTAAGTTGCTTTGTTGGTTGGTTGGGACCTTTTACTTAAAGCCACTGAAGTTTGTGCTCATTTATGGCAAGAAGGCAGATTTCAGCCCAGTTCTCTGACTGGTTTATTAGGTGACCCTTACGTTTTCAGTAGGTTTTTGATGTTTGTTTTTGTTTTTTTGATTTTTCAAACAGGGTTTCTCTGTTTGAAACCTAGAACTTGCTCTGTAGACCAGACTGGCCTTGAACTCAGGGATCTGTCTGCCTCTGCCTCTCAAATGCTAGAATTAAAGGTATGTACCACAATGCCTGGCAGTAAAAGTTTTTTTAATTGAATTATTTTGGGGACTAGAGTGGTAGTTCAGCAGTTAAGAGTGCTTGCTGCTTTGCCAGAGACCCAGCTTCAGTCCCAGCACCCATATTGGGCATTTCACACCCACCTGTAGCTCCAGCCCAGGAGATCTGACACCCTTGTCTGAACTCTGTGGATATCCTCTCCCAAATACACAGCCTTCTGGCATGCACTCACTCAGATGCACACCATATAAATGAAGAAAAAAAAAAAAGTAGATAAAATTTAAACACTGAAAGAACCAAGACTTTAATCACACTGGTGTGTGTCTTACTTATAAGTGAAGGCTCTAAAATATTTATGATTTAAAATATACATCAGATATATTAAAATCTTCCATTAAGATGAGTACTTAAAAAGTAGCCATGGAAGCCAGGACAAAATGTCCAAACATTGAACATAGAGAAACAGTGGGCATATCATTGTTACTCCAGTGAGTGCTTCCCTTTTTATGTCAGAGTAACCCAGGATGCTCTGGGCTTGCTGTCTTCAGCCCTGCTAGGATGAACGGCTCACTTCTACTATAGGAAAACCTGCAACAAAATTACAGAAAGACAAGTACAACATACGAGGCTTTTTGCCTAAATTGGAGTAGGTTTATTTTGGGGCCATACTGTGGTTTGGGGTAGCTGGAAGACTGACTTGCAGGCTCCGCTGCCTCCTAACTGAGCTAGATGATTCAGTGCTAGACAGCAGGAGTCAGTAAGATCCAGGCCCAGCTGGAGGCCCCTCCTTTGCTGCGCGTGACAGCCTCTCCATTAGATCATCACTGGGAGGTCCTATACAGGACAGGACAGGACCTCTGTACCTCAGGCCGAGAACTTGCCATTCCCCTGCCTCAGCTTCCTGAGTGCTCTCCCACGGTACTGAGTTCCATGAAAACTCCCTCTCCTTCCCTTTATCCCTTCTTTGAACTGTCATGAAAATCTATTGCCAAACAGTTGAGTATGAAAATATATTTACTACAATATTGAGTGTAGAGTAAAATAGGCCGATTGGAGGAGAGATGTGGATTTTTGTGCTGACCAGTGGTCAGGTAAGCTTATTCTAAGGTTTTGGACACTGGCTCAGTTTCTTTGTATTGTTCTTTTGCCATCTCTGTACATCATTGATCAGTCGTGGGAGAAAGGGAAGTATTCCCCTGCTCCTCCTTGGATATGTGCTACCATTTCATTTCAGTGATAATCCGCTGTGCACCTTTCTTTAGCTCAGGGGGCTGGGCTTTGCCCCTGCTGTCTCCTTGGTGCTCGGGGCAGCTTTCATGGTGAATGAAGTCTCTTATCTAAATATACCTTGGTTGGAACGAGAACCCTAGCTATGCTGGTACATGCCAGGGTGTGTTTGGTTTTAAACAGACAAACATGCAAGCTCTTAATAACCCAGATGCGCTGAATCCTTACACCACAGAAAGAAATGGAGTGCGACTGTAGGTTGTCATTAGTCTTATAAAAATAAAGGCTATTTATTTATTTATATTTCGTTTTTAAAATCGTTATGTATTAAATGGTTTATTTCCAACAAGATTTAAAAATTGTTCTGTGCTGAGAACTTTCTCCCTGTGGAGGGGAGCTGTGCAATGCCTACACCTATTCTACTAAGGTCCCAATGACAAGCCAAAGCTTGGCTTCGCCAAAGGGGAACCCATGATTTATTGGGCTTGCATACAGACTGTAGATGGGGGGGGGGGTACTGACAGTATTGCCCCAAACAGCTGCACTGGAAGTACTTATGAATGGTAACACCCATGGCTGTGTAGATGGTGCCTCTTTCCTTCAGCTCTCCACAGCCTGCATACTCCAGCCCCTCTCCAGGACCACATGCAATTGTGAAAATTATTCCCCAGCCCCTCCTTCTGTGAGGGACTGTCAGCTGTCAACAGCCAGCTGTGATCTTCTGCAACCAGACACAGCTGGACACATGATGGAGGCTCTTGGTCTGAAAAATACATGGGCTAGAAATGTAGCTCAGTGGTGTGCATGGCACCCCGGGCTCAGTCTTTAGCCTAAAAAATAGCGTGTAAGTGTATGCCTGTGTGTATGAGCAATGCTGATAGTCACAATTCTCTTACCTTTCTGTTTCCCCAACCAGGTCCCTGGGGCATCCTGCAGCGAAGCTTCTCTACGCATACAACCCCAGCAGGGACAGTGAGGTTGTGGTGAACTCAGTGTTTACAGCTGCTAGACACTTTCATGTTCCGCCTGTCCATTGCAGGGTGAGTGCTGATCTTCGCCTTTCCTGGTGCTCGTGCTCCATTCTCTAGCCTTTTGTTTGCTTTATGTGTATTTATCACCCATTTTCTTTCATACTTACAGTGGTTCTGGGTACCTAATGGGGAAACATGTTTAAAGAAACTGTAGTAATGTATGTGCATTTAGCATGGTTTTAGCATGGCTAGAGAAAGTTTATAATATTGATCTTTTAAGATTGCCATGGATTCTGAGGCTTCAGTAACTAGTGCTGGCTTTATCGTTCCCCTCTCAGACCTCTGCACAAAGCCAGGGCTCCTTGTGAACAGCAGGGTTTATGTAGTTAACTCCTCTCGTGGCAGAATTGCAGACTGTAGTCCTCTGTAGTTTTCCAGTGACCTTAAACTTTCTAAACTTTTCCTTATTTTGATTGCTGTATCTGCTTGGTGTTACAATTTTGGTCACTGTATCTGCTGGGTGGTACAATGTTGGTTACTGTATCTGTTGGGTGTAACAGTGTTGGTTATTGTATCTGCTGGGTGTTACAGTGTTGATGACTGTATCTGCTTGGTGTTACAATGTTGGTCGCTGTATCTGCTGGGTGTTACAATGTTGCTTATTGTATCTGCTGGGTGTTACAGTGTTGGTTACTGTATCTGCTGGGTGTTACAGTGTTGATGGCTGTATCTGCTGGGTGTTACAATGTTGGTTACTGTATCTGCTGGGTGTTACAATGTTGATTGCTGTATCTGCTGGGTGTTACAATGTTGGTTACTATATCTGCTGGGTGTTACAATGTTGACAAACTACTGAGACCAAGGAAATGTGAACAGAGAAGCCCTTCTACATTCGCTTCACAGTCGGTTTGTTTTTTGTGGATAAACACTGTCCCCTGGGTTTTAGTCATATATTAACATATTTAACAATAAGTCTACATATGTGTACAATGTCCTTTGTACTTAAATAGAAACAGAACCATATTAGCTGAGCTGGTGGGCATGTGGGCGTGAAGGAGCGTAGGAAGGTGAGGCCCACGACTTGCCCTGAGTGAGAGTCCTGGGCAGTTATCTGCCAGGAGTTGGCAGTGTGCCTGTGGAGTGCTGGAGATGATCAGTTTGGAGCGGCTCGGGGCTTGGTGATGCTGATAGGTACTGACGTGCAGGGAACTGCTTCAGGGGCAGTCAGGAGGGACGTCTGTGAGCACTCCTCCAGAGGGCTGATAGGTTCTCCTCTCCTTTCAGGTCGTCCCAGCGATGGGGAGAACTTCCTTCAGGATTATTTTCTTACCTACTGAGGAAGGGAGCATCGAAAGCTCTTTATTTATTAATACCTCTTCACACGGAGTCCTTTCCTACCATGTAAGTAACGTTTCCTCTTGCCACATACTTGCCTGTTGATTTAGAGAACTTGCCTGTTTTCTTAGGGGACTCTTGGAGAGATTTCCCACTGCTTCATGCCATTAAACTGTAACCTAGAGTTATGCAAAGTCTATTAACTTCCAGTCTTCTGCGGTGTGCGCCTCAGAACCTCCCCTGCAGCCTGACAGTCCCTGGGTCTTCAAGGTGTGTTAGGGTGAAGCAAACACTATCTACCATACAGTTTTCTAGAATAAAACTTGGCAGGCTCTTTTCTCTCAGAGGGGTGCCCTTGGCCCGCCTCCCCTTGCTCAGGAGTATTTCTGATCAGGAGATGCTATCATGCGTGAGGCAGTCCGTTTCCAGGAAGCTCCATATCCACATCACTACTCCAGTCGAGAGAGTGGGAAGGGCGCATGGAAATGCCATGTTGCTGGTGTTCCCAGAACAGGGATCTTAACTCAAGCGTGACACCCGGGGTGTCCTGGAGATGGGGCACCTAGGAATCCAAGCATGAGATTTGGTTATTTGTGATAATTCCACTAAGGACATTGGTCTCAGAGGTGTCCCTGTGAGGAGGTTTGCCTCACGAGGATCATGTAGTTCTCCTGTAGGGGAGGACAGATGTTTGGTCAGCAGGTGCATGCAGACCAGGCATTCTGACACTGACAGGCCTGCTTCTCTTGCTTCCCTGTAGGTGTCTGGAGTGGGCACTCGCGGAGTCTCTACAGAAGGGTCTGCTGAGCAGCTGCCGAACGCATACTTTCTGCTTCCGCAGGTCCAAAGCATCCAGCTTTCACAGACACAGGTCATTTTAACAGAGCTACTTAGAACTAACTCAGAATGTGCACAGCTGTTCTGTTTTATGTAGTCAAATCAGGGTTTGACTCTCTTTATTTTAAAAGTCTTGAAATGTGGAAGTAATAGATAGATTCAAAGTGTCAATGAATGAAATCTTTCTTTCTCTCCTCCCTCCCGCCCTCCCTCCCCCCATATCTGAGAGATGGCAGGGCCTCATTCATTCTGGGCAAGTGCCCTTCCTCTGAGCTGCAGCCAGCCCTACATCCTTCTAACAGCCTGGAGCTGCCACTCCACAGTGTCTCTAGCTCTGTCGCTACTCTGTAAAATGCTTCTGCCTCTTTGTTGTTAGCCATTGGGCTGTGTGCTCATGTTTCTTTCTTTTTTTTTTCCGTTTTGCTTGTCTATTTCCTTGGGGTATAATTTCACAATGAGACTGTAGTCATAGACCATGAGTTGTTTTACAGGGCTTGTTAAATCTTCCTGGCTGCTTTTCAGGAAGACAGAAAGAACCGCTAGAGCCACCAACAGCGACAAGCCTCCGAAGATATTTACCCATCCCTTTCCTCTCTCTGATTCTTGTCCTGTCTGCTTGCGGTTTATGGCGGAAACACTTGGTTTTTTTGAGGCAGGGGTTTACTGTGTATCCCAGACTGGCTTTGTCCGTGTTCCACAAAAGCAGTGAGGTCTGCTCCAGATTTCTAGGTGAGGCTTCTTTCCCCTTACCAGATGGCTGTGGCTGAGGTCTGCACTGTCAGGTAGCTCTGTGGTGCCGAATGGGTTTTGAGGTTTGTAGACAAAAGCTCATTTGAAAGCAGCACTTGCATCCAGTTCAGATGCCTGGAGGTGTTTTCCAGAAAGTGCCTGTTTCACTTTCTCTTAGCTTAGTCATGATTAGGAAAAGGAAATTCTTAAAATGTTTCCCAGGGCTTCTTATATACCTGAAAGTAAAATCCTACAACGCCTAAACCTAAGAAGTACTATGGAATTCCTGAAAACATATCCCTACTGTACTTTTTCTACTAAGTTGTTTGCTTGTGTGTGCATACTCCTCATGTTTGTGGGCTCTGGTGCCAGCTCTCCCTGTTAGAGGAAAGTCTTTAGTTTCCGTATGAAAATAGTGTCTTGGGATTTTACTTCTGCTGATGTTGCTCACCTGAGGTGGAAGGTTGTGCTCAGGGAGTCATGGTTCCCCCATGGGGTTCTGGGTGTCCAGTGCTCAAGGCAGAATTGTGGTTTTTTTTGTTTTGTTTTGTTTTGTTTTCTGGTATCAGACCTAAAAGTGTCTCATGCACAGTTGAGGAGTGAGATGTCTAGACAGAAATAAGTATATTTATTATCAACTTTACAAAAATGTCTCTTTAGTTCCATTGGAAGAGAGGTAACTTCATCTTGTTTTAAGGAGAAACGTGTAGTTAAGAAATAAAATTATTTTACATGTGTCAATCAAGTCCTTATATAAAAACTGAGACCAAGATAATAGAGTGATTTAAAAATATTTTCAGTTAAGACTGATTGGTGTGTGTGTGTGTTTGTTTGCCTGTGTGTCTCTGTGTGTGTGTGTCTGTATGTGTGTGTGTTTCTGGGGTGATGTGTGCCACCATGGTAATATGATCTGTTGTATAGCTTCTTAGCTTTGTTAAAATGTGTCCATCCCTAGCCTATGGCCTAGTGACCCTCTCCATCCTTGGAGCTCCTGCCTCTCTTTTCTGAGCATCTTATCCTTCATCCCTTTCTTCCAGTTCCTCCTCGTGAGATTTTACCCTATCCTACGTGTCCTAATTCTTTATTTCAAGACCCAGTTCAAATGCAAGCTTCTTTCGAACTTCCAGGTCCCCATTCAGCCCTGTGTCTGTTCTCCTTGGCCATGTTGTCTTTTTATAGACTGTCCGTATCAGCTCGCTGTGTAGTACATCGAAGGCCCCAGAGTTTTAAATAGATAGGTGAGTCAATGGGAATTTGAGCTGGGATCCCCAAATAGCACATCTCCCAGCCGCTCCGTCCAGGGTGACAGGGCTTCACCTTTTCTCCACACCAGCCGGCTGACCTTCAGCAGACTTACCACCTCAGCAGGCGACAGCATTCTTATTTTAGAAGTTGTTGGAAGGATTTAGAGTTTTGATTACTTGGTTAGAGGTCAAGATTAGGGCCGGGATTGCAAATGACAACTGAGTATGATTTAAATTTTCCCCCAAATGTATTGTCATAATGATTTTCCTCTATGTTGAACTATTCACGTTACTGGAAAGAAAAAAGCCAATGAAATTTTTTGTAGCATTTTTATTATGGCAACAACATAGAGACAGTTTAAAACTCCACAGTGGAAAAAGGATTTGCCCAATTAGATTGTCAGCTTAGCAGTATATTAGAGCTTCTTCCAGACGGTAAGGAGGAGGTCCACGTGGAAGTGTCCGACAAGTGTGTAGTGCCCAAGGTCGGCTGCGTGCTCCTGTGATGTAGCTTTCTGGTGGGTGAGGCGTGTGAGTTTTCTGTTAGCTCACAAGACAGCAGCACTTTTGTCTATGATTTAGTTTGTTTTCTGTTGCTGTGATGAACACCATGGCCAAAAGCAAGTTGGGGCAAAAAGGGCTTATTTGGCTTAAGTATCCTGAGTCCCCTGAGGGAAACCAAGGCCAGAACCTGGAGGCAGGAACTAATGAGGAGGCCATAGAAGGCACTGCTTGCTGACTTCCTTCCAGGGCCTGCTCTGCTTAGAGGTGCGGCACTGCCCCCAGTGAGCTTTATCAGGCACCTGCCCTACAGACCTGCCTACAGGCCCATCTGATGGAGGCATTTTCTTGCTTGAAGTCCCCTTTTCCCAGATAACTTGAGCTTCTGTCAAGTTAACCAAAAAACTAACCAGCCAGTTCATTTGCAATTCTTAAAAATATGATTACATTATTATTACCTCTTCTTCCTTCCAGCTCCTTTCAAATCTATGACCTCTTTTTTTCTCATCATAGTGGCTGTGAACATGTAAAAATATATATAAATCCATACATGCAGCATGCTGAGCCTGTTTAGTTTTGCTTTGTATGTGTGTTTTCAGAGCTGACTTTCCGTTATTGAATAACTATTTAGGGGCTCATCCTTGGGGAACACCGGGTCTCCCTCCTTCAGCACTCACTCATTTGCCTAGAGCTTTTTTTCTAGGGGTTGCACCCCATGAAACACATTTTTTAAAAAAAAAAAAGCTTTTTTTCAGTACCTTCTTGGATCTAGGCTGCTCACATGTTTTATTGATTTCTTTGATTAAAGCAACTTTTGAAGCATGTGTTGTCCCAGTAACCACCATTTTATCTGAAAGACTAAAAGGAACTTAAATTTTAGAGAACCACTGTAAAATAATAATTATCTAAAATGAAATTATAGGATAATGTAGCAGCTTGGACTAGTTACAGTTAGTGGGAATTATAGCATCTGAGGGTTGTATCAAGATGCAGGGTCTGGGATAGCTCTATCTTATACAAGGCATTGCTCTGCAGACTGTGTCTAGCCCCACGTGTTTAGGCTGCCCGCTGGAATGCCCCACGGCTTGTGCAGAGCTGGTGTTCCCACTGATAGGCACGCTGGCACAGAAGACTTAGCATTTGAAACCATGAAAAGGGTCTCAGAAAAACAGGTTGTGAAGTTGGGGCTTTCCAGGGCCATTTTCGTGTGGAAACCTTGTCTCAAGTGCCTTCTTCATGTGGTCTGGATGACTGTCCTGCCTGTTCTCATGGACTGTCCTGGTGTGGCTCCTGACTGAGGGCTTTAAGACTTTGTTTTACAGTCTCAGAATCCCACACCTTTCCCTTAAACGGTCTTAGCCCGTGGATGGAGATGACGTCAGACCTCAGTTCCCAGTCGCTTGTGCTCCCTTTACCACAAAACAACCAGGCTCTGCACCAAGTGGTTTAGCATTGCTGCTTTCTTGAGTGCTGTATATTGGAATGACTTAAAAATCTTACATCTGGTCTTTTATGCCCCTAGGAAGAATAGATTCAGTCTATTCTGATTTCTTGAACAAAGTGCTGGTTTGCAAAAAGACTTTTCCCTGCATTTTCCCACTGGCTGGCTCTAAGTTATTGACCCCTCCAAGCTGTATTGTCCCCATGTCTAAAAGGGAATCCTGTCATACTCTTTTTTTAAGTAAAGACTTAGCATATGTTATGCACTAATTCATTAAAGTAAAATGGTAATTTTCAAACATAGAGATTTGTTAATTTTGGTTTGCTTCTCTGTTAAGGTTAAAATTGCAGTAATTTTTTTTCTTTTGGGAAAGAAATGTCACCTTTTCAATTTCCTTTAGACAGATGCACTAGGGTCACAGGCAGTATGGATGTACTTGAGCTCCCCCTTGTGGGGTTCTGAATTATACCCTACCACAGTATAATAGTACAGTTTGAGTCTCCCTAAGTTAGAGAATCTCAAATCCAGAGTGCTCTAAAATCTGAAAATTTTTGGTTCCCAGTAGGACACCACAAATGTGATAGTTCAATGTGTACTAATTTTTCATGGCGAGATTGCCTGAAAATATTATGTAAAATTATGTCCAGACTATATGTATAGAGTATATTAAACATAAGTGGATTTTGTGTTTAGACATGAGTCCCATCCTCAAAAGAGCTAATGATACATGTGGAAATATCCCAAAATAAAAAATTTCTTTTTTCACGCCCCTAGAAAGCATTCATCCTGTCGTGGTTCCTGTCTGTTATGCTTCTGCTGAGTACACGAGTCTTGCTTAAACTGGCAGGTTATAAAAATCATGCATGCAAAAATTTTCAAAGAACAACAGAGCATTAACTTTTAAATCATATCAGGTCTCCGTGTTCCTAATCCTCACGCATGTTTGAATTGTCATTCTGTGCTCTTAGCGTTATTCCTCCATTCAGAGAAATATGAGAGGGAAAAAAAACCCTTTAAAATTGAACCCACCTTATACAAATGTGTACTTTGAAAATAGATGGATATGTTTTTCTCATTAAAATCGAAATTTTCGAGTCAAAAGTACACACCAAGAATCAGGTTTTGATTTATTCTTTCATTTTACTGGTGTTGTTTCCTCCCTTTAGGATGGTGCCTATTTCAGGCTTCCTCAGTTCCGTGGTGTCTGTGGTGGTACACTCTATGTTAGTTCACCGGCCATAGCCCAAGTGCCTACTTAGGGCGAAGCATGGGATTAGCTGCTTACGATGGGCTGGAGAGAGTGGGCCTTGACCAGATTGTTACGGTGTAAGTGAGGAATGTTAGAAAAAGTTTTGTAGTGTTCCCATACGTAAGTGATGGTTGGTTATTCCGATGTGGCTTCTGGGTGTCATGAAGGGTAAATTAGCCCGGGATTGGCACAGCGGCAGGGTAAGGAAGTGGGTTCACTGTAAAGAGACAGCAATTTCAAAGATGCCCACTGGAACAGTGAAGCCAGAGTGTGGACACGGGCAAGAGGGCCCCCTTTGTCATCTCAAGAAAGGATCTGGCACTTGGCAGAAGCTTTGAGGGTCACCACTGACGGAGTTTGGGTACATAGTAGCTCAACTTGAAGAGCAGACTGTTTTTCTTGTTTTCGAGACACAGTCTAGCCCAGGCCGGTCTTGAACTCTCAGTCCTCTTGCCCCTGTCTCCACACGTATGGGTGGAGGTGGTGACTACCGTGCCTGGTTTACCATGTGAACTCTCTCTCTGTGCAGTGGGGAGGGAGGGTGAAGTGGGAAGGGTCCTGGGTGGAGGTTACCGTGTCCGTGAATTTCTCTCTGGATTACTGACGAGTGTCTTAGTACTTAATACTCTGTGTGTGGTGCAGAGCAGACCCAGTGCACAGAAGGAGGTGCACAGCTGTATTCCAGGAAGGCCTCGTTCCCAGGAACAGGCAGAGGACTGGAGTTAGGCTGGGGGCACAGTTTGCCACCCTGGACCTCCACTGCGTTAGGATGGAGACATATGCACGGTTTAAGGGGGTTGAGGAGGCCAGTGTAACTTACTCATGATTCATTTAATAGAGGCTGAAACAGTGGGTTGACGTTGGTTTCTTGGGTTTGGACTTGACTGCTGTGTGGATAATGGCAGGACTGGTAGACAGCGCTGCTAGGTGATGGGTGAGTTCAGCCCTCCATGTGCAGCAAGGCCTGCGCTACAGAAATGCATGCTGAAGGCCCTGCTTGTTGGAGAGCTCCCTTGGAAGCCGGGGCTTGGGACAGGGGAGCACAAAAACCCAGCGCACAGATCAACCCTGTGAAAACACTGTGAAAAGAGGTTCCGGTTGAACTGGGCCGCGTGGCCGTCACTCATGACTGCCCTGTAGTTTGGACCAGTGATGGACCTTTCTTATTCGTGTCTTTGGTGGAGGAATGCATTCAGATTTTCACTTTGAGAGGCTGGGGAGGGTATAATGGGAGCACAGAGACCCTCATGTTCTGACTGACTCTCCTCTCTGTAGCCCACCCACGTCTTGACCGAGAAATGGTCTGCATCTGTACAGTCCCACTCTGTGCAGTGTGTGCGGCTTTAGGAGGAGCCCACAGGGAGGGAGGAAGAAGCCACTCCTTAGCCAGCGAGATCACAGTGACCCCTGAAGACCAGTGGGGAGGATGTAGCAACCAGGCCACCCTCACACCCGTGTGTTATTGCTGTTTTAGACTGTGCAGAATATTAGTTACTAGCACTAAGTTTGTAGGTCTGTTGATTTTACTTACATGATTAAAGTATCTTAAATTTTGTACTATACTTAAGAATGTAATATACTTTATTAATATTTTCTATACTTTAACTGCATGCATGAGAGTAAAGTAACCCTTTTTAATATTGAGGAATGAGCCAATGGACCCAGGGTCTCACAAATATCAAAAAGCATTTGCTTTATCATTGAGCTATACCCTGGCGCCTATAATGTATTCTTATGTGATGTACTTAAGGCTTATCATCTCAAATCAAACTTGATGGCTGTGATCCTAAGAGTGTCTCCGCCTGGAATCGGATGCTCACACATAATTAAGCAAGCCTTCTTTCTTTGTTGAACTTTCCCAATGCAGACTCTGGCTGTTGGACTGAATCTGTTCCTTTTATAATGACCATGATAGAGACCTCATGCAAGAGAACCTCTCCAAGGCCAAGTTTCCAAGATTTGCACGCTCTGCTAACTTCCCCCCTCTTTTCCTGTCTGCAGACCCCTCTCCAGCCTGAACAGCCTGGACAGCGGTGTCTCATTGATTGGGTCATTCACTTCATGACTTTTGGGATTTCTGTCAGGACTTCACCCCAGCGGCTGAGGGCTGAGATCTTTGGCCTTGACAAGCTCTGCATTCTTTCTCTCTGCCTTTGTCTCCCATCTCCCTCCCGCCCATAGGTCTTGCACATGTTAAAACCGACAGGCAGTTGACATCTGCCTTTTTGAGGTTTCTGTCAGACTCTAGGGTCATGGCTTTTTGTGGCCACTGAGCTGAGAGAAGGCACACATTGGAAACAAACTTCTGAAAGCATTTGGTTGGGCATAGTAGGGCACTTGCATAGTCTTAGCACTCAGGGCACTGAGGCAGGAGGATACGTTCAAGGACAGGGCTATGCTGAGAACTTTTTTCAAAAACCAACAAGCCTGGAGCTGGAAAGATGACTTGATGGTTAGGAACACTTGTTCTTGCAGAGAAACTCAGTTTGGTTCTTAGCGCCATGTAGGGAGACTCACAACTGCCTTTGATTCCAGCTCCAAGGAACCTAATGGCCTCCTTTGGCATCTCGTAAGGCTTGAGCGCGCGCGCGCACACACACACACACCTTAAAATAGAATAAGCAAAACACAGTAATTCCCGGGCAAACCCACTTTAATATAAAAATATATTTCTTTGTTTAGACCCAATGTTAAACACATCCTAGACAGTATTCATGTGTATTCTTGGAAGCTATACCTGCTTCTAGCCTTACTAGGAACGTTCAGTTATCACTTCCTTTAGTGTGTAAGCTTGTGGCAGCAGGATATATTTCCAGCACAACATAGCGCATAGCATCTAACAGCTACTCAGAATTTGTTGTTACTATTAAGGCCAGATTGCGCTGTTTGTCTCCTCTCAAGTGCTTTTGCCTCTTTCTTCTTTTAGGCAGAAACCACTAATGCTACCCTCCTGCGGGTGCAGCTGGAATGCAGTTTACATAACAAAGTGTGTCAGCAGCTAAAGGTAAAGCAGTGTTGAGCACGGTGCCGTTGCCTTAAGTGGCCCTCTTTTTAAAAAATGCGCAGTCTCAAAGTTCAGGTGATGTTTTTGTTTTTGAGCTTCTCTCGTTTCCCTGTGCCTCCCGTTTCAGAGTTGCTATCTGGGGCCTGGCAACACTTTACCCTTGGAGATGAGCATAGTGGTCGCCGTGGAAAACTCCTCGAGGCAGCCTGAAGAGAGCACGCAAGCCCTCTTAGATCACCTCTCTATTGTTTACGTAGCTACTGCTGAGTCCGGGAGCACAGGTAAGGTGGGGGCTTTGCAGTTTCTGTCGAGGGAGTGTACCCTGGCTCCTGGCCCATCTGGCGCTGGCAAATGAAAAATGAAAGCTCAAACCCTTTCCTTCCAGCATGTCTGGTTTCCCTGCACAAGGAGCCTCTGCTGCAGGTCCATCACGGCAGGAGCTAGTTCTCAGTCTGCAGCTACTCAGGCCGCGTCAGTTCAGGGACGTTAGGTGACCACCGCCAGCTCTTCTGAGTCTCCTTGGAAATAATTTTTCTTGGCAGTGTGCGGATATTAAGCAGATGAACTCGGCATGACTGCCTAAAAATAAGCATTCACAGAGGGTCTGAAGTCCCGAGTCTTACTCCAGCGATCAGAGCTGCAGACGCTCCATTGAGCAGACCGTGCTGTCCCGTGCTCTTCGTAGCTGACAGCTGGCTGTTTCCCGATGTGTGACAGCTGTGGGGCGAGTTCCTCTTCGGAACGTGGGTCCGACTTCCTAGAAATAGCCTGCTTTGGCAGTTCAGCTTTCGAAGAACATTTGCAGGAGATACATACTGTACGATGCCTGAGATTCATCATGTGGGATTTGCTGTTATAACAACTGTGTCGGTATGAATGTGTATATTTATTACTCATTCAGAGAAAGCAACGACACAGGTGATGCAGAAAAGCATAGTTGTTTATTGGCAGTCAGCGGTATTGAGTGTGCCATGCCCTATCCTTCCCCACCACCCACCTCACGCTGGGGACGGAGCCAATCACTTCCTGCAAGCATCACTGAGCGCTCCAGCTTTAATTGTTGAGCGAGCATCACTTACCTTCCAGCCCTTAGAAAAGGATGTGGTAGCAATGGACGGGACTCCCCTGCACTGTGGTTTGTACTTTATTGGGTTTTTGTCACAGGCAGGTGGGCACCCAGGCTGAGAAGACCCCAGTCCCCTAGGGAACACATTTCCATGATAGAGGGGAGCCTGCCTTCTGAGATGCCAGAGTTTAGTTCCTCCCAAGTGTGTTGGTTTAAATGAGGAAACACATGGCTTTCTGGGTACCTGGAGAGCATAGCTTGGCTGGAAGCTGTCTGCGTGGTTACTGTCATTTAGGTGGAACATAATACATCAATTTCTGTCCTGCAACTTCTTCAGCGTGTGAGAACCTACATGTCCAGGCGATTTTGTTTGTTTGTTTTTGTTTTTATAAAGCTCTCTCTCTTCCTGTGACTTAAAAGACCCATCCCATGTACCTGAAACTCTGACTTTGATCCCCAGTACTGGACTCACTCAGGCATGCACCTTAGAAGGTGCCAGAGGAAAATGTCTCTTCCATTCAATTTCAGTGTGGGAGAAACATTTTGGTCCTTTTAGAAATGTATGATGTATTTTACTGTGCTGAGTTGTGGAGAGTCCGTGGCTCTTTGTCTTAACCTTGCTGCTCTGATTCTTTTGAGCAGACGAATCTGCAGTCAATATGTATGTGTTGCATTCAGGAAACAGCCTGATTTGGATACAGGTAATAGCTGAAGCTCATCCGTAAGTAATCTAAAGTTACTAGTGTGCGTTTTGCTGCAGGTCCTTAGGGGTCTCTTCTGCTGTCATTTAAACCCACTCCCCCTTGCTGGAACACCCGTGTTTATGTGGATCTTGTCAGCACCCTGTCTGCAGTTACAGACACATCTGCTGGCCAGTTTCTGAGTCTCGCTCCATGCTGTGCACTGAAAACCTCCTGACTGAGAGGAGTGACGTGGATTCCTTTCTTGTTGCTGCAGGATATCCATCACTTCTCGCAGAAAAACGCCCTGTCTCTGCAGTTTGAACCCGTGCTGCTACCCACTTCCACAACAAACTTCACAAAGATCGCTTCATTTGTTTGCAAAGGTAACTCATTAAACTGCAGAGGTGTTCCTCTTCTCTGTGGGTTAGCCGGCAGTGTCCTTCAGGCTCGGTCCAGCTACAGGTGAGGCACAGTGTAAAGACACCCAGTGGGTTTTGATCCTATAAACCACAGCCTTTGGTGTGGTTGAACCTGCTGTGGATGCCGCCGGTTTTTACCATGCCTGTCGGGTTTTGAGCTTCAAGCTTGGTAACTTGCAGTTCAGTGTGTGTGTTCTGTGCCTTCACAGGGAACAGAGTTGTAGGAACCTGTCCAGATAACATGGTAGATTATGATAGCGAAGGCCCACAGTGAGCTCGAGTACAGTCCTGTGTTCAGATTCCTACTTACAGTTAAACAGTATTCTGTTAATGAATTCCCATGGATCCGAATCGTAGGAAAACATACCCAAGCTCACACATGTTTAAAGAACTTCAATTTAAAGCTACAAGTGAGATATCACTTATCATAGAGAGCATTAAGGCTTTTTTTAAAAAATGGGTGCTCACATTCTGTTATTATAATGAGGAAGGAAGAAAAAAAATGTATGTTTTAGCTGAGAATTGACGTGGGCTGTGGAGAAGGAAACTGATTGATCTTTATGAAAGTTGAAAATGTTCAAATCCTTGTCTCTAGTTCAGCAATGGACCCTACAGATATTTCTGTTTTCAAAACTATACCTTGGCCAGATGTGGTGGCATGTGCCTGTTAGTCAGTTACAATGGAGACAAGAGGATTGATTTGGGGGCCAGCTGTGACACCTGTTTCTCAGAGAAAACCCGGCCTGACAACAGAGTGGCCTCAGAGCCCACTGAGTGCTGGTTCAGCTGAGTCCATATGGAAGGTGGACTCTGCAGCCGCTAGGAGGCCTGCAGACACTCTGAAAGCGGGATGCGGGACATGGGTGTTTAAAGGGCTCTGAGGGTCCCGCACATGCATAGTACACCTGCAAGGGTGTTCACCAGAGCATTGGCTTTTGCTGTCTGAGATGATTGGGAAGAGGGATAACGGTAGGCTCTACTTGGAGGCTTTGTTGTTGTTGTTAACGTTTTAATTTGGTTTAGAGCCACATATTCTTTAAATAGAAGCAGTGTCAGTATGTAAGCTAAGATTCAACAACAGTCATGATCTAGAGCAGAAGAAGCTGGAAGTATTTTTGTCTGTGTAAGCTGTGCTTCTGCGTCACCTACCAGGACGCCTCCCTGGGCCGCTTGGATTTCGTCCCCTCCCCATGCTCTTCTTTACTCCACTAAGCCAGGGTCTTCTCCTGCCGAGCTGAGGACACTGACTTCTGTTTTCCCTGAAAGCCTTGAGAGGCTGGAGTAAAAGGAGGAGGGAAGGGTGTAGGTGCTGAGCTCCAGATGACTGTTACCAGCCTACAGCCCACAAAGAGCAAAATGGAAACATAAAGGAGCTATGCTACCCTCTTTAAGAGCGTGGAAATGAACCCTTTCTCACTTTTGCTCAGGTTTAAGAATAGGAAAGATACTGATGCTTATGCTTCACACGGTGTCTTTGTACCCTAGCAGGTTCCTCGTGTGACAGCGGAACTGTGGATCTGAGGAAAAGGACCAGCAGCCCAGCTCTGAGAGCCTGCCTCTCCTCTCCTGTGGTCCAGGGGTGAGTTCACCCGGCTTTCCCTGAGCACCGTCCGCTCGTTGGTGTCTGTTTGTCTTCTTAGTGGATTTTTGTTTTTGTTGTTTTATCATTTGGCAATGCTTTAAAATCATGACAGTCCCTGCACGATTCTTTGTGGATTGCTAACTAATGCAAAGTGGAGGAGCGGGGCTAAATAATTCAGTTTAGGGGTAGGTGTGGACCAGATAATCAGAAGGAATTGCACCTGTGGTATTCTGAGTTGTATTTGGATCCTGGTTTTGCCCTGGTCATGGCTGGGTCTTTTCAGCCTTGCCTATGTGTGTCTTGCTGTGCGGGTGAGCCAGAAGGCTGAGGGAGAGCTGCTGGTGTCGTTTCCCACAAAGATAATGGTTTCTGCTCCCATTTCCTCATTTGGAGGATCTGTAGAGGACACACAACGATCCTGACTCAGGACTGGCCACATTCATGTCTTCTGCTCACAGGTATTTCAGAGTGGATGCCTCTGCAGCCCAGTTTCACATAGAGAGTCACGAGAACGCGACAGGAGTGTGGTCGATATGGTACCGCAGCCATCTTGACCACAGCATCGTATTAAAAGACGTGTCTGTCTCCAAGGAGGCCAGGCACATTTTAAAGGTACACACAGTCCTCTGTCTCCAACCTTTTACTTAGTGTAAGCTCTGTTTAATATCATTCTGTGAAGCCAGTACTTACAGCACCTAACTCTGACTTACAATTTTTAAAGCAAATATAGTGTTCCGTTTTAACATTCGAGAGTCAGGAGTTCGATTGACAGCTATCCAAACTTTCCCTCTTTCAGAGGTGCCCTGTTTATGGTTAAAATATATGGTTTCACAAAGCACCTTAAGGTTTCTGCTGTGACGTCTACAATGGTGTGCGCTGGAAACGAAACTTGGTTTGAAATCATAAATATTTTACTTTTGATCCTGAATGAGTGGAGTAAGATTGTAGTTTCCAGACTAGAGAATAAATTTAGTGTTATTCCGTAATGATTTTAGTCCTCAGGAGTCTCAGGAAGCAGCTGACCTCTCTCGCTTCTTTTCCTTTTAGGTTCTGAGCTTCCCTGGCCCTTTGTTTCTACCCCCAGGCTGTTGGAATATATTTTCCTTGAAACTTGCTGTTAAAGGCATTCTCTTAAATCTGCTCACCAATGTGTTTCTGACTACGAACACGGGCGCCATTTTTGCGATACCTCTGCAGATTTTCTCGGCCCCAACCCAGGTATTGTGAACACCACATGTGCGGTCCTGCCATTTAGTAGTGACAGTTGCCTTGAGTCCCCAGCTAGCTCTGTCTTCTAGGCTGCCTGAGCCGACATCACCAAGTCCGTCTCAGATGATAGACTTGTGTAGTTATGGAAATCTTGACTTAGACGGGTTCTTCTCATGAAGTAATGATTATTTAATAAACTAAATCATACAAGTAGATTGATGGATTTCATTTTTCTCTTTGCTGCTTCGGAGCAGACACAGGGTCCTCATTTGCTAGGCAGATGCTCCGCTCTTGAGCGACATCCCTAGCTACCATTCCCAAAAGCTGGGAAGAAATGCATGGTTGAACTTTTAATATGTGTTTGTAGGGACTTCTAGTAAATCTAATTATTTAGTGTTTTAAATAGACTTCTTTTAAGAGGTTCTCAGTTGCTCATAATCATTGAATTTTCTTAAGGGTCCAGTGTAAAACCTAAAGGGTCCATGAGATGATTCTTCCTAAAATCTGGGCAAATTGTGTTCAGCTAAGATTATTTTAAGCATGTCTCATTTTTTTCCTTAATGTTTATTTTCATTTAATTATTGCTTCCTTTTGAGCCAAGCAATTCTGTATAACACTGAGTTCTGGTTTTTCACTATGAGACATTCATACAGCCATCTTTATGATTTTTTTCTCACTTATTAGTGTTGATGTTTCATAGTTAGAAATGCCTTGGCCCTAGCTGAGATTGTGAACATAGGACTCTACACCAAACTTGGCAAGAGTGTGAAGTTCATCCATGTAGTCATATTTGAGTAGGAGGGATTTCTTAGCAAGTGCCCTTCCCCGATCAAAGCATATAAAGAGAGTGATTAAAGGGAAGAGGCAGGAGGCAGGCTTCAGCAGCACGGGGACTAGAACCCAGGCACTCCCCAAGACCTGTGGGGGGGTGGGGGTAGCTAAAGTTAGTAAGATCAGCACACCCTCAGATTAGAGTCCAGCTCAAGACAAGCAGAACGCAGAACCCCCAGACTTGTTCCAAGTCTAACTCCTATGGCAGCTTGGCGTCTGGTGTGCCCAGTAGTGAGGTTCTCATCTTTGACAGCTGTATAGGGACTGCCGGTTGTCCTTGTAGGGCACTGATGGCGGCTGTAGAGAGGCCACTGTGGTCACCCTGTGAGGCGCCGCCCAGACACCTCTCAGGTGACAAAGGAACCAGGAAATTGCTTTCTTGTTGTTTGGCTTCTGGCTAAAGGGGAGTCCCCTGAGGTAGAGCCCATGTCTGCTTCCTGTCTTAGTGTGTTAGGATTTTTATGCCGAGTGTTGTGTTTTAAGTTATTCATATATTACTTTTCAATCTAGGAAGGGAGTCTGGGTTTTGAAGTGATAGCACATTGTGGCATGCATTATTTCATGGGAAAAGCAAAGGCAGGTAAGTATTTTGCTTTAGGATTTCCATAGCACTGAAGCTTGGGGGAAATGGAAGGCGGTGATAGAAGTTAGCTCTAGTAGAGGGAATTAATTAATAACTAATTCTGTTAAAGCAATTGCATCATGCTCCATACTTAGTTAGCATGGTCATTGACAGAGTCCTCCAGACAGCTAGGGTATTTGTAGAAATAAGAATGTCCTCTTTTTCTTATGTAGCTTGTGCTTTTGTGAGAGATTAAAACATAATATTGTTTGATCTTAGCAGCCTTAATCGCCAGGCAAAACTGGAAAACTGGGAGTTTATATGAAAGCCGCAGGAAGTTAGAATTAGGGCTTGCATACATCTCTCTCTCCCTGTATCAGGAGGTACTCAGTGCCATGTGAAACTGAAGGCCTTGGCAGTGATTTGGAAGTCGAGCCTGGGTTTTGGTTCTGTATTTTGCCTTTGTACTTTGATTTACTGAGATCTCTGGTGTAAAGAGAGTTTTAAAGTACAGCCTTACCTTTGGGAGAGCCCCCTTTTCTTCCCAGCACCCCCACTAGTGGAGACAGGACAGGACCGCTATGTAGGGGTGAGGGACCTCCTAGAGCACCTCGCAAATCCGTTGTGTCGGATCAACTGCTGGTCTGTGCCCTCCTTGACCACTACTGTCTGTCCCTCCACATCCCCGACCTCCATAGTCCCCCGAAGGACACAGCTGCCAGAGGGTGTTTCCATGGAAGCAGCTCTGCCCTTTCGGTTGGAAGCTGTCAGGAATGCTGTAGGCGCAGTCTTGATTTCTCTCAGCTGTGTCATGAGCCATGTGTCGTCTTTTACGTTATTTCTTCACACGATGTGCTTTAGTTCTGTTTTTCCCATGTTTGTTTCATTTGACGTGTCACGTGCCATTGAGTTAGGGGGACTTCAGAGGGAGGCAGCAGAATTTATTCACGCCATAGCCCTCTTAGTCTGTGAAGCGAAATGGCCAGCCCTTGGCTTTAGTTACTAATAATTGTACTTCGTAAATCTGAAGTTTGAATCTGATCTAACTTTTAGAATCTCCTCCTTGGGATGGAAGCCTTTCTCTGGATCGCTCTACCTGGGACGTGGATTCTGACCTTGCAAATAAACTGTATGAAAGATGGAAGCATTACAAAAGTGGCCACGTTTGCAGGTGCGTCCTCCATGGATGGGCAGGGCGTGACTGCTTCCTACTGAGTTCTGCACTGGACTTGTTAGTGACCCTGCAAACTCTCAGCCTCAGAAGCGTTGCCAGGGCAGCACCGTACATATTTCTCAGCTGTTCCTCAACTGGAGTTTGCTCACCAGGCATCAATTTTGCCTTTTTTTTTTATTCTGTCTTTACGCATAGGCACGTATCCACCGACTGCTCTTTGCTGAGTTGTTTGAGCATAAGCAGCGAGTTTTAGCCTTGAGCCCTCAGTACTTTCCTGGGAGAATCTCTGATGGCCATCACACTGAAGCTTTCAGTATTAGAAGAAAATGATTGGAAAATATTCTTTTATATGTAGCATTACAACTGCAACCAGCAAACTGACCAATAATGTATCAGCTATAGTTCATGCTAAAAATTCCCTAGTTGGCCTATGACCTATGATACCTGTTACCACACCCCGCCCCCTTCTTTTTCCTTTGTCTTAATTTGGGGTCATTCAGGGCTACATCCCCTTGTCTTGTTTCCATCCATCTCCAGTTTTTATCACGTTGACAGATTTTCTAGTCTAGACAAGTTGTCTTACAGAATATTCCACACCGTGGGTCTTTCTTCTGTGTGTAATTGGTTTTTAAGTCTGCATCAATTTTAGCGAAACTACCGGCTCCCTGCTGGTGTGGCGCTGTCGGGGCCTCATCACACGAGGAAGCGCACAGATGTCCTTTTGTCCTGTGGTTAGCACTGCACAGTTGAATGCTGTAGGTGACTCGTGATGGATGTCCGCCTTGGCGAGCTTTTCACTTTGATAACCTTTGCTGATCCCTAAGACTTCCACACCGCAGTTGTAGTATTCACGGGCAAGCCTTGTCTCAGCCCAACTGATGCCTGTGACGTGGGAAGGCTGAGGGTGTCATTGTGTGGGCTCTGTTTATTACCATATACTGTGTGAGCCTTTAAAGCCCCCTGTGAGCATCACCGTAGATTCCAATTTCTGTCATCATTTTGTTAATTTGTGTGTGTGGAGGGTGTCTACATTAGAGTATGGGTATACACACATGTTCCCATGTTCAGAAGGCTGAGGGGCATGTGTTAGGTGCCCTCTGCCTCTCCCTGAAGACGGAGCTCAGCATTTTCAGCTGCCTGAGGCCCAGGTGTGCCTGCTTGCAGCCATGCTCAGCTGCTTTTGTGGCTGCTGAGCTTCCTTCCTCACACCCTGCAAGCAATCTTACTCACCGAGCCTGCTCCCCGGCCCCATAGTTAGCAGTTTTGATGACAAATTCAAATTTTGCTGTGTGTCCTTCTGGGCAGCTTGTGTGTCTCTGATGTGGTATCAGAATGGCAATCATTCTCTGATTGCTTGCTTTCTAGTAACAGGGGTTTGCTCGTATGTGCTTATGTGTGCATGAGTATGCCTTTAATGTCGGACATTGAACTTGGGGACTGACGTGAGAAACGTGTGTTCAGCCCCAGGATGACATCACCAGACTCCTAGGATCCGTCGTACACTTTGTCTTTCCAAATTCTACCAAAAGCCGTTTCCCCCAGAGGTTTTGTGCCTGCCTTTTACAGGGAATGGTATTTAGTATTTCCATTTAAAAAAAAAAAAAGTGCCAAGGTTATTTTTTGTATATATTTATTATTCTTCTTTTTTCTTTGTCAATTTTCCAGGAGAAATGTTTTGGGAATGACTCAGTTTGCCTCTGCGAAGAAATCCAAGGACTCAGAACCCTTGGTTTCCTTTTTGCCCCGCTTGGTCCTGGAGCCTGGCCTCGTGTTGAACTTCGGTGCTACTGCCCTCAGGAACAGCATGGTGAGCAAAGAGTAGCTTGTCCGAGACCCCCAGCCGGGGGCTTCAGAGCACTGGGGCATTTAGACCCGGAGATTGGTTTCAGACGCGATTACTTGAAATGCAGACACAAACGTAACGTCATTAGGACATTGAGTGGGGATGTGTACAGGGCACAAAGAGATGTCCATTGGACAGGACTTCATCCGTGTTAGAAGTGGGGGGGTGCCAGCCAGCAGCTGGCAGCGGAGAACATCCTGGTTCACACCGGCTGAAACACGTCTCTGTCATGGAAATCTAGAGGGAGCCATTGCTCCGTGATGCCCGCAGTGCCCTGGCCCTGGGTGTCTCCTGACTCACCTTGGTGTGCTGGCTTTTCCCACGGTCCGGGTGGCAGGAAAGGGCGAAGGGAGCAGACTGAGGACACTGCACCTAAGTTAGGGTGGCGCCCCGCACCTTGTGCTCTCTGAGGCACCTCGGCCGCCATCTTGGCGTAACTTCTAAGTTTCAAGGCTAGCATGAGGAGCTTCCAACCGCCCCTTTTTTATGTTTATTGATATAGTGGTGTGTGTGCAGGGGACATCGGAGGACTCTTTCCAGGACCTGGTTCTCTCTCTTATCATGTGGCTTCCGGAGCTTGACCTCAGCTCTTGAGGCTTGGGGACAAGCACCTTTGCCCAGGAGTCCTCAGTATTCAGTGTGCCACACTTTCCTGCCGTCTCTCTCTCTCTCTGGACATAGGTGTAGCTTTATAAACCTGAGGGTTAGACATTGGGCTGCCCTTCCGCTAACTGACTTAAGTACACAGGCTTTTGTTCCTTTTTCCCGTTGGCCTCAGATGGAGCCCAGGGTCTCAGTGCCCTGCCTTCTTGATCTGCTTTACTCTCCCTGGGTCTGGGCAGAAACCATTTATAGCATTACCCTGGTGTGAGCTTTGGTCATGTTCTTCCAACAGGGATACCTTGGGAGGATTCCCCGTTCTTGGCCACATTAACCCTCCTCTCCTCAAATCCAGGTGAAGCACTTTGTGGTGAGGAACCCGTCCCCTCGGCCAGTCTCCCTGCAGCTGCTGCCGCTCTCCCTGTACCCAAAACCTGACGCCGCGCTGCGCCTGCTGCAGAAATGGTAGGGGATGCCCTGGCCAGGCTGCGGGAACTCCTGCACCTCTACCCCAGGCTCTATGCAGGCACAGTGCGAGCCCGTCACCCTGTGCCTGGGAGCCTGGTCTCCCTGTGCGTGTGGCTTGAGGGAGGTCTTGGAATTGTGTGACGCCTTCATTGTCACTGTGCCCGGTCTACCCAGGAAAATTCTTTTCTTGAGTTACAATATCACAGGTTTTCATAGAAACTTCTAACATTAAGAATCTTTTAAATCGCGATGGTCTCCGTTAGCATGGGAAGTGAGATTAAAGACTGGTGCAGTGGAACTGACCTGTGGTCCTGCCACTTGGGAGGCTGAGACGGGAAGATTGTGAGTTCGAGACTAGCCAGGGCAACATAGTGGGTAGGAGGCTGTGTAGCAGACTCGATCCCAGATTTCTCAACTTCTGCACTAGTGACGTGTCGGAACAGACACTGCCTTCTAGAGGAAGGAGGACCCAGCGCTGGAGGCCTTCAGCTCTTTGGCTGGTTTCTGAGGCCTGCAAGACTTCCCCAGCCATGTCAGCCCATGTCTCTAGACACTGCCGGGTCCCATGGTCATAGTGCGGCCATTGGTCGAGAGCTCCTTACTCTCAAGTTCCATAGCAAGCCACCCGGAGGACTTAGCATTGCTTCCTATGTAGACCTCTGTTGCATGTTTCTTTGTGTCATTAATTCTCTGCATTCACAGGTACCAGTGTGGCTGGTGGGTGTGGAGAGGGCTGAGGGGGAATCTGATAAGAAGCAGGGTAGTGAGTGTGTGAGCACACACATGTTGTTAACTCTTTGTTGGCTGATCCCAATGGTATTTTGAACACTGGAGTTTTTTGCTTCATTTTTAGGTTTGGCACAGATATGCAGATGATTAATTTAACAACTGGTGAATTCCAGCTCACCAAAGCTTGCCCTTACCAGGTAGGAAGTCATCTTCACTGACTTGGCTGGCTGCAGAAACAGTGAACCTGACCACCTCATGTTCTGGTGTCTGTATGTTCTGTGTTGGCTCTTGTTTTCCTTCTCTGGGCATGAAGCACACATAATAGGGTTTGTTTGTTTATTTTTCTATTACGTAGCACTGCAGGATTAGTTTAGCCTGTGAATCATCTTAATGGGATGGATTAGATTCATGCAAGAGAAGAAAGAACAACAGAATCAGAGATATATTTTAAAAAAAAGTCATAGGGGCTGGAGAGATGGCTCAGAGGTTAAGAGCATTGCCTGCTCTTCCAGAGGTCCTGAGTTCAATTCCCAGCAACCACATGGTGGCTCACAACCATCTGTAATGAGATCTGGTGCCCTCTTCTGGTAAGCAGGCAGGGCAGGCAGGTAGTGTAGGTTTGACTCCCTCTACCTATGTAAATTTGGGCAGTTGTTTCATCTCATCTTTGACCTTCATAACAACATTTGAAGATTCAATAAGGTTTATGAAATAGATTGCTTAATATTTTATGTGGGTTAAATAATCCAGTGCCTGGCATATAAAACTATTTCATAGACTGCTGCTGCTGATATTATTACAGCTTTAATACTAAAATTGGCATCATTTTGGTTCGGGGTTTATTTTATATTTATAAAGCAAGATTTTATCTTGCAGATTTTATGATTTCAATGAAAATGAACCCAGTTTTATCACCATTTGTCCTTCCAGGCAGCACAGGAGATGTCAGCAAGGCTTTGAGGATAAAAATGACAAGATACATGCAGATTATATATCATACCTGTCAAACCACTCTTTTTCCGTGAGCTAGACCAATCAGCAGAAGTCAGTTAGACAAATCAGTAAAGTCTGGCTGACCAGCGCTAAAACAGCAGTGTTTACTCAGAGGAACTGGAGAGGATAAAGGCAAATGTGAATAAGTAGCAGTGTCTCTCCTAGAGGAGGAAATCGTGAAACCTAAATTCTGTAAAACCTAAACTCACTGTTAGAGACAGTCTGTGCTTACCTGATGTGGATGGGTGCTCCTGTTCAGTTGCTATAGAATTAAGCAGGAACAGTCTGTTCTCTGATTTCTGTTTCTTTGTCAAAGAGTGTGATACAGAAGGCTTCTAACTCCAACTCCCACCCAAGCCAGGTGACAAATCCGTTGTGCAGTATCCTGCTAGACTGTCCTGCAGTTGCATTGAGGTTTCTCAGATGAGGCATAGGGGGTATTGAATGCTGGAACAGTTGAGGACAGACAAGTCCAGACGGATTTTCTAGAGAAGGGGTGAACCCCAGTGGTCTAGCGTGCATGAGGCCTTGAGTTCTGTCCCCAGCACGACAAATACGAGGAGAGAAAAGGAAACAGGTCGGTGAGGATGCATGCAGTCAGGCTTAGGACTGGGATGTGCCTGGTGGCTGTGGAAACCCGCTGCTGTCTGCAGTGGTTGAAGCTGTCCTCTGTAACTGCAGGGTGAGCCCTCAGAGTCCGGTTTGGACGCACTCCATCTGCATCTGCAGCCTCTGGAGATGAGAAGGGTTGGTGTCATGTTCACACCCGTGGACTATGGAAAAGTCACCTCCCTCATGCTGATCCGGTAGGTGTGTCCCTGTCACTGAGAGTTGCCACTTCTCAAGGGTCCGTGGTGGGCTGTGTCGTGGGTTAGGAAGAGGTAGGGGCTGCAGAGAGGAGTCCTCACTTAACCCTGTCACGCCCCTTCCCTAGTGACCTAGTGTCTCCAGGAGGAAGCGTATTTCACTCAGCCTCTAGTCAGAACATACCCACCCACAGGCACACACGTTTGTGTCTTTGTCCTTAGCAGTGAAGATAATTGCGACACTGCTGTAGACATTCCGTGAGTAGATCCGGACCTCCAGCCTCTTGTGCTCAGTAGCCCCAAGGACAACGGGAAAAGGGCCTCCCTGGGCAGGCCCACTGCTTATTTCTCTTCCCTTGAAAGACAGTTACTGCTTGCTGATGTAGCAGGAAAAATGCTTTTCATTCTTTACGTTTCCTGCTATGGGTAGTCTTTACGAGAGTCCTTTTACAAAAATTACAATGCAGGCCTGAACTGAAGCTATTCACATTGGTGAGCCTAACCCAAATGCAACTTTGAATAAATAGTACTTCAGTTACTTTTCAAAAGCTTTTCTTTTATCAGATCAATTGCACAGATTTTATTGGAGGCTGTCTTTAATATACTAGCATTAGTTCTGCAGCTGAATGAGACCAAAAGGAAAATGTGCAAAAATAAAATCCAGAGCATTTGTCCTCAGAAGCCCTGACCTGAGACTCCCCAGCTTCCTGCTGAGTTGTCTCTTCATTTAAAACCCGTTCTTCTTTAAAACAAAAAAAAAAGTTTCAGAAAGTTTATAAATAAACCTCGCCTCCCAAGACTTAAAAACAAAGTTTCTAATAGTGATTCCTTTACTTTTGATGTTTCTTTGTTGATTGACACAGTATTTTCTACAAATCACTTCCAGCCTTACATCACTAACCAAGCTATTTCAGTGCATTTTGCATAGTTAGAGATAGAGGTGAATTCCCTCTGTGCTTAGGTGGCATTGTCCCCGTGGTGCTGGGAATTCAGTCTTGTGTGCCTCCTTTAAACTGGGTGCATAACGTTTCGTCTCAGCATGCATGGTGTCTGTTAATAAAAAGATGAACTCTGGCCTGCGCCACTGCATTAGTAAGAATCTAACGAGTTAAATGTAATTTGTGGGATGATATTTTGATTAAAAAGAAACAGAATTATAATTCTAGGGTCATCCCATCTCTCAGGCAGTATTTCTTCTCATCGCAGTCTCTGTGAAAACCTCTATAAAGTTTTGTCATTTGTCAAGTTTGGCTAGCATCTGCATCTGCTACTTTATTTGATGTCTCGGGGTGTGGTCACTACCCCATGCCTGGTTGTTACAGAGCTGAGCTTCCTGTTGTGGCGGGTGGTTGGAGAGTGGTGGCTGCTCAGCCCCTCTCCTGCCAGCTAGCGTGAGCATTCTGGACTAGCATTCATTTCCTGGAGAAACCTTCGCGTGTAAGATGCAGGAGATGCCATAGTTTTAAGAGACGCTTTTATTTTTAACTAACCATATTCTTTCTGCCTTGGATTAATGCCAGCTAAACGCCGCAGCTTGTAACATTTGCGCTAAGCCTCCTGGTGTATGGGAGGTGGTTAGCTGTGCTTTAGGGCTGTGTTGACTTAGCCTGAGGTGAAGCTGCTGTGCTACCCTTTGTTGTAGGAATAACTTGACTGTCCTCGACATGGTTGCTGTGGAAGGATTTGGAGCACAAGAGCTCTTGAAAGTGGGCGGAAGACTTCCTGGTGCAGGAGGGTCACTCCGATTTAAAGTGCCCGAGTCCACTCTGATGGACTGTCGTCGACGTGAGTTTACAGGCTTGACACCTGCTACATCTTTGTCATTCACTTAATAACTTAGAGTTCTTAAAGTAAGGATTGCTGGAAACCATAGAAATGGTTAAATATTACTCCTTATATAGATTAGACTGAGTTAATAAGTTTACAGTCACATTTTAAGCTGTTGACTCTTTCTCAAAACTCCCAATATAAAATATACTTTTTTTATTTCCAAAGGTTTGCTATTGTATATGAACTGTGATGATGTTTAAACAAAAATGACTGTAAAAGGTTTACACCCAGGAGATGATGGAATACACCTCTCTAGTCCAGGACTTGGGAGGTAGAGGCAGGAGGATCCAACGTTTAAGGCCATCTCTGGCTCCTCTTAGCAAATTTAAGGCCAGCCTGGGATATGAGACACTCTGTCTCTTCCTCATCCCTGGGTCAGTATAAGTGAGCGTTCCAGGGTCAGAGTACATGATACCCTGCAGTAAAGTCATACCATTTGGCTCCAGGAAGAATAAGCATCTGAGTTTCGTCTCTAGCCTTGAGAGGAGTCTGGCCTTGAGTATTTCTATTGTTTTCTCATTTTATAACAACATCTAGAGATGACAGAATAAGGAACTATTCCACAAACCAGGTAGATAGCAGGCTTTAAGCTATTTAATAACTTCTTTTTGATTCTGTTTATTATTAAAGTTAGTTTTGAAGTTCATGAATACTAAATAAAACAACTTGTTCCTCACTAGAATCTAAAGACAGCAAGCAGATCTTATCCATCACAAAGAACTTCAAGGTTGAGAATATCGGGCCTCTTCCTGTAACCGTGACATCGCTGAAAATCAATGGGTATAACTGCCAGGGTTATGGGTTCCAAGTGCTGGATTGCCGCCCGTTTTCCCTGACCCCAAACACATCCCGTGACATCAGTATCGTGTAAGTCATTTCTGATCGTGGTGCACAGTTGGGGGAGGCACCCAGCCCATTAGTAACTGACATCTTCAACTGCTTTCATATAAATATGCATCTTTATTAAAAAAATTTGTATGGGTGTTTTGGCTGCATGCATGTGTATGCACCTGTGGGTGTTTGGTACCCAAGGAGAGAAGAAGCTATCAGGTCCCCTGGAACTAGAGTTAGAGACAGTTGTGAATTGCTGTGTGGATATTGGGAATTGAACCCAGGTCCTCTGGAAGAGGAGCCAGTGCTACTGAAGCATCTCTCCAGTCCTGAGTGTTGTTATGTGGGCCTAAGTTTAGCTTCTGCTGTTATTTTGACTTTGTGGTGAGAATTAAAACCAGGAAATACCAATCATAACGATGAGCCGCTTACCCTAGGTTTACTCCGGACTTTACCTCTTCCTGGGTCATCCGCGAGCTGATGCTGGTGACGGCCGCAGACCTGGAGTTCCACTTCACGCTCAACGTGACTCTCCCGCATCACATGCTGCCCTTGTGTGCAGAGGTGGTTCCGGGTCCCAGCTGGGAGGAGTCCTTCTGGAGGCTCACCGTCTTCTTTGTCAGGTAAGCACCCATGTGTCTCATCCTCGTCAGGCAGAACAGGGCAGGGGTCACTTGGGAATGCAGGCGTGTAAGAATGGAGGGACTTTCATTGCTCTGAGTCCCGTGGCAGGGACAGGCGCTGCCTGAGAGGGTGATAGTACCTGCGGTGTGACTCACAACTCTGCTCCACACTCGCTGTCACCGCCAGTCCCGGTTGGCAGACCTCAGGACTGACGTCATTCTATCAGTGCAGTGACTGACATCATAAGACCATAATGATCCTGTTTGTATGTTTTCCAAGACAGGGTTTCTCTGTGCAGCCCTGTACAGAACTCACTCTGTAGACCAGGTTGGCCTTGAACTCGGAAATCCACCTGTCTCTGCCTCCCAAGTTCTGGGATTAAAGGTGTGGCCACCACTACTCAGCAAGACCACAGGGACCCTTTAACAGTAACTATTTAGAAACATGCTTAAAAATTGAATTGTCCTGTCAGCCTTATGAATGTGCACATTTTTAACTTTTTAAAGTGCATTTTTAACCTTTAAATCAGAAATAAGTCATCCATTTAATAAAATATAACCCCATTTGTGCAGCTGTTTTCTACCGTCCACTCACCACTGTTCTGTAGCAGAGAAAAGTCTTTTAGCTTTGCTCTGCTTTGTTTCTGAGGCAGTCTCATTATGCCGCCCACACCAGACTCAAGCAGTCCTCCTGCCTCAGCTTCTGAGCAGTTGGGACTACAGGCGTATCCTCTTGTGCCTGGTTATGGCGGGTCTTCGTGATGCTGCTCAGAACCACACAGCAGCGCGCGGCACTGCTCTCTCCCCAGCTTGTCCCTGTTGGGTGTGATCCTGATAGCCTTCCAGCAAGCACAGTACATTCTGATGGAATTCATGAAAACAAGGCAGAGGCAGAACGGCAGCTCATCCTTACAGCAGAATGGTGGGCCAGTGGACGTGGTCAGCTCCCATTCTCACAAGTAAGGCCTCTCTCTCCGTGCGTTTGGGGGGGGTTCATGGTGCTCATTTCTGATTTCCTTCCAAGGTCATAGAAATTCTACTTTTATCCAATTCTCTGTCGCTTGTGTGAACAGCTGCACTGTTGTCTTAGATGTCTGTGTGAGTGCTTGGCTCATCGATGGCCTCTCGGCAGGAAACTCATGGGGCTGGGAAAGAAGGGGAGGCTGGAGCTCCTCATTGCATTGCCCCAATTGGTCCCACCCTCGTGCAGAAGTGAAGTTTAGTTTGGTTTGCTTTGCGTTCGTACTAAACGTGTTTCTTCTTATGCTCAGAAGCAATTGCAAGAACTTTCTTGACACGTACAACCCGTCTGATAAAGGCAGAGGGAAGAGCTGCCTTCCAGTGGGCCCGCCGCTGAGCAGGATCCAGAATGCGTCCAAGAGGAGCCCGGCCACGTATGGGCATTCTCAGAAGAAGCATAAGTGCTCCTTCTACTACAGCAAACAGAAACCCAGTGCCTCCGTGGCCAGCAGTGCCAACATGGCCACTGAGGAGAAGCAGACTTTGACCCTCGCCAGCTCCCTGTCAGCTGCTAGGGAAGATGTTTGCGCCGATGTCACGAGTGAGAACTGGGTCAGCCTCAAATACACCAGTGGTGTGAACGTCGGCTTGCAGAAGAATTTAACCCTCCCCAGAAATGTACTGATCAAAGAGGAAGACTCAGTGAGAAACACAGTTGTTGATAACACTTCTTCAGAATGTAGTATGAAGGAGGGACCACAGACATGTATGTTTCCTAAGGAAACTGACATTAGAACTCCAGAACCCGCGGCCGAGCTCAAGGAACAAGAGCCCTGCCCACAGAAGACTTCTAAGAAGCCACCTGAAAGTCCTTTGCCCAAAAGCCCACCTCAGTACCAGCAGTCAGACATGCCAGAAGTCTCCAGGAAACACGGTAATCTTGGCCGTCTTGATTGTTCTCCTTTGGTCTCTCACCTGTAACCTTCAGAAAGACGCTGCTGTCCCCTCCCCCACTGCTTTTCTTCATGGTCTTACACCAGTGCAGTCTTGTCTGACGCACCACAGGACTTTTACCTTAGCACCCCAAGTCACGGGGTTACAGTGCCTGGCTGTATCTTTGGTCTTCACTGTGGGAGATGAGTGAGTTTGTGCACCCAATTTTAGCAAGGGCATCAATGTTGAAATTCAAAACATGGCACCCTTTTTAAGAATGTATGACTAAGAATTTCACGCTTTAGAACAAGGTAGGGGTATTAATGTCGTCTGTCATCGTTAGGTTGATACTGATACATTTTTAATTATTTGTTCTTTGCTTCCTTTTTGTAAAAAAAAAAAAAATAGTCACCCCTTGTAGGGTTTCTGACTAATCAGATCTGTGCCAACTTGTTTGGTTTTGGTTTTTAAGACAATTTCTCTGTGTTACCTTGGCTGCCCTGGAACTCACTCTGTAGATCAGGCTGGCCTGGAGCTCAGAAATCTGCTGGACTCTGCCTCCCAACTACTGGCCTTGAAGGCATGCGCCACCACAGCTGGCTACACCAGCCTTTCTGATCACTATAGCACCTCCTAGATCCTGGCCTTGTATTTTTCATAGCGCCTCTTGGTTAAAGAAAGACAAACGCTGTCATGACAGATGCTATTGACTGAAGAAGGAACTGGGCAGCGTGACCTAGCAGATGCCTGCTCCCTCCAGAGGGCATACGCCACCTCTTCCCTTCCCCGCTCCTCTTTCTTTCTCAGGCCAGTATATTAACACATTCCTCCTGTACAGTTGGAAAAACTCAAGCAGCCTATTTATTTAAAAGCGAATCTCATAAAGTAGCCCTGGCTGTCCAGGAACTCACTATGTAGACCAGGCTGGCCACAAACTCACAGAGATACTCCTGGCTCAGCTTCCTGAGTACTGGAATTAAAGGTGCATGCTAACATACAGTCAAGCTTTGATCTTCACACTTAGCTCTGAGCACTTGTTGGCCAGCTTCATATCACTGCAATGAAGTATCTCTTCAACAGTGCAGTGGGGCAGGGTTCTAGGGGTTCTGTTGTCTTTTAAGGCTCTGCTTGGAGTTCGCCTGGCAAGGTAGAAAGCCTCCATCAGAGCACACCCATATCACAAACCAGGAAACAAACAGGCAGGTGTAGGGGGGAGACCAAGGTCTCATGACCCCTTCCCAGTGACCTGAGCCCCGCCCAGGAGGCTTGCCTCGGAAAGGTGCACCGCACCTCCTGAGAGCGCTGTCTGGGGAACAAGGCGTGTGTTCAAAACAGGAAGATCTCGTTACTTGTCACTTGCTGATGCTGAAGTGAAGCCATGGGAAGGCTCTGGGCCGACTCTAGAGAGCTTCATGCTTTTGGCACAATCTGCGAGAGGAACCATGCCTGCTCCATAAAGAATACTATGATGTAAAAGATAGTTGGGGCTCTCTGAGAGGAGCGTCTATTCTGATGTAAAAGATAGTTGGGTTCTCTGAGAGGAGCGTTTATTCTGATGTGAGGTATTGGACAGGCATCACCTCAGTCAGTCGTCAGGACTTTGTCAACCCAAACAGTGTCTGCTGAGTAGTAAACTAAACTGCCGCCACCCCTTGCCCAGCGCCTGGGAAACGTCCTCTTGTCTGTGTGAATGTGCTGTGTGAATGTGGCTACATTAGGTCTCCCTCCAACAGAAGTCATAAAACAGTCACCCCTTCTGTCTGGCTCATTTTATACACTAACTTTAAGGTTCCTCCGGCCCTTTCTTTCCACCAGGATTTTAATCCCCTTTTATAAAAAGCATCTTAACTAATGCGTGTGTGGTTTTGGCAGTGCTAACTGTAGCCCCACGATAGTTTTCCTTTCGTCCGTGTCCGCTGGTGGACAGCAGGTTGTTTCCGCCCTTGGCCACTGTGAACTGTGACCACACAGCCATGTTAATGTCCACCCTAACTCTGACAGCTCTTAAAGGTCGCAGAACTTTTATGTAAGTGTGTTTCCGCTTGTAATCAGAGTGCGTTTCTGAGGGATCATGGTTATCAGAACTGAAAGATGAGACTGACGAAGGAAAACATTCAGTTATGGGGACTATGAATGGGGAAATGCTAGACATTGATTTTTTTTTTTAAATTTATTCAAGGAAATAACCAGCCAGTGCCTGTCAAGACCGAAGCGGACAGCGGCGAGACTGTGAAGGGGGCGGACACAAAGCTGTCTTCCTCCAGGAGGAATCAGAGAGCATCTCCAGAGGGCGCGTGCTCTGAGAAGCAGGACACACCGCCATCACCAGAGGTTTGCATCTCCCCCTCTCTCCTGTTAAAGAGAGCAGCAGCGCTCGCAGGCAGGCGAAGGGCACAGATCTCTCCGATAAGTAGATGTCTTCCCTGCAGGTGGTAGTGACACTGTAATTTGTTTGTTCAGAAAGTTTTATCCTCTGATTATATAAGTATAGAGAAATGGTTCTCAGTGAACCCAGGTAGCTTTTATCCCTGGATCCCTCACCCTAAGCGGTGGACTCAGTGGCAGTCGTGGAGTAGAGCCAGACCAGAACCTGTTCCATCTGGTTAGTGCTGACGTCCCCTTTTCATCTTTCTCTGTCCTGCATCTGTTATCATCTTTTCTCTAAAAGAGCACAAGAGTGTTATTAGTGGAATAGAAGATTTTCCTGCGTTAAGAGAAGAGTTCAGTGTATAGATGAAAATGCTCCACCGTGTAGGTCTGGAAAAGCTGATGCCCAATGACAAACATAGGCACTGTATTCATTATTCATGAAGCATGAGAGTTGCCCGGAGCACGGAAGAAGCTTGCTTCAGACTCAGTGGGAAAGTAATTCATTGCCTTAGTGTCATGTTACATATGTGTAGGCCCATGGGGAAATATTCAGAGGGAAGCTCTGTGAAATAGGGAAGGAGCCTCGTCGTTTCTGAGTGGTTGCTCTGTGTTCTGTGAATCTGATACAGCAAGCACGACTCTTTTGTTTAAATTAAACAGAAGTGCTACAAGACAGGTATGCCATAGGCGTTCTAAAGGGTTGAGAAGTGCACAGGTGCTTGCGTGTAATCAAGCATCAAGACTAATGCTGGGCTACAGGATCCTGGGAAGCCCCAGAGGGTGGCAGCTTGTACAGGTGTACACACAGAAAGTCACGGCAGGCAGGCAGCAGGCACTGCCGGACCTGCAAGGAGAGAGCCCACCAACTGGGAGCGGCTAGGGCGATGCTTGCCCCCTTTCCCCCAGGGAAACAAGGGAGAGAAGGCTCTTGGGCCCGCCACACTGGGACTGCCAGGTGGGAGTTGGGTCTGAAGCAGCCTGCTTTCAGGGTTCTTTAAAGCAGTGGTTCTCAGTCTTCCTAATGCTGTGACCCTTTATATCGTGGTGACCCCAACCATAAAATTATTTCATTGCTACCTCATAACTGTAATTTTGCTGCTGTTCTGAATCATAATGTAAATATCTGATATTCTATCCCTGTGGGGTCTCTATGCATAAGTTGAGAGCCACTGCTCTAAAGTCACTAAACTGGTAAACACACACACACACACACACAGTATATGTTTATGCTTATATTGAGAGCCGAGATGTTGAGCTGACTTGCAGGGTGTGGTCCGGATAGTCTGTCAAGTCTGGAATATCCTGTGGCGGTATGTCTGTTCACACAAAGTTCATCCATGAACAAATCAGCACACGCACACACAGCCGGTTTCTTCCTGGGTTAGTCCGATTTGCTTCAGCCGTTGATTCAGTGAGCTGCAGGCGCTAGCGATCCAGGCGGAGGCTGGAGGAGGGTTCCCACAGCCGCCTACACGGCAGATCGTCCCACCCCTTCAGCCCCTTGGGAGTTTCAGAAGCAACAATTATTTCCTTCTCTGTCTGCAGAGCCTGAGAAAGTGGGGAAATGAAAGCAGAGAACGAGAAGGGTGGGTCTCAGGTCTCACCAGTGCTGAGAGGTCTGGGTGCAGACAGAGTTCCTCCCGAAAAATTAAACAAAGGCCATCACAAGTTTTGTCTTTAAGAAACTATGTCTCTTGAAGCCACAAGTGTTTCCCTTTTCGTCTTCAGCAGGAAGATCCTTACAGGAGGAGGAAGCTTCAGGAGAAAAGAGAAGGAAGCACACCAGCTCTCGGTTGGAATAAAAGCCGAACATGTAGGAAAAACAAGAAGAGGGTTGCTGCCCAGGCCTCCAGGTACGCCATGTCTGCGGCCCTGCCGGTTTAATCTGGGTTTCTTTTCACTTCAGTGTTTTGCTTTTATAAGGGTGGGGAGGTGATACAGCACAGTGCATTAAGTTTAGATCAAAATGTAATTAATACATTTCCTTGTAATTTTACTCCGTAAAAATGCTATAACACGACCTTTGAAGACTTATTTTCATCTGTCCCTTATAGAATGTTAAACGCTATGGGAAACTTTAGAGGAAGATACCTAACCTGTCCCTCATAGCAAGGCCTCGTTCTGTTTATACTTTTTTGGAGCAGGGGGTGTAGAAAACCCTGGCACAGACACACGTGCACACTGCCACCACCCAGTCCTGTAGTAAGACCCTACAGTCGCTTTGCCCTGACCTTAGCTTTAACCCCGTATGTTCACTCTGACTCCACATCCAGCAGAGGTGGCTTTGAGCTCAGGTTTTCTATCTTAGACTCCCAGGATGTTGGAACCTTTAGCACACATATCCCCTTTCTTTCCTTAGCTACAGGCAGGCTTTTCCCGCCCCCCAGTTCCCTCTTGTCTGAAGAGCATCCCCGTGCAGAGCCCCAGTTTCCTGTAGAAAACTCCATTCCAAGATCCTGCCACCTGTCCTCAGCAGTCCCTGAGAAAGCTGTGTCCTGCCAGGGCCCCTCTCTTCCCGGGTAGGCTTTTCTTCTTACATCACCACCGTGTGAGCTTGGTGGTGTTTCAACGTGCTATTGTCCAGGTCCTCCAGCTCTTGCACATTTGAGTTGGAGTGAGGTTCCACTGTGGCACAGTCGAGTGTTCTGAGGGCTCAGAGCACCCAGGGATGGTACCACGGAGCTCAGAGCCCAAGGGGGCTGTCAGGGAGCTCAGCACTGAAGGAGGCTGCCACCAAGAACGGAGCCCGTGGCTCCACATTGTCATAGCTCCTCACAGCCAGGGTAGCTTTCTGGCTCTGTTCTCTACTTCATTCATACAGGCATTCAGTACAGTGGAAATAAACATGTTACATACCACATCCTTCATGGATGTTTTTTGGAGAGTTGGAGTGCAGTATCCTGTATAGAGGAAACATCAGGCCTTTCTGCATTCTGTATGTATTTTCATGAACACGGTTGACTCTGGGATCTCGACAGAGTACTGTGTGTGTGTGTGTGTGTGTGTGTGTGTGTGTGTGTGTGTGTGTATGTATGTGTCTGTCTGTGTGTGTGTGTGCACGCGCGTGCACAGAGTATGGTAACTGCTAAGGGAATGTTTGCAGATGAGCTCTTGGACCTCCCACCAGATACTAAGCAGCAGGGTCAGCCCCTGGACATCCAGGAAAACAGGCCAGGAGCCCTAAAATGCCAGGCGACCTTGAGCAACATTGTAAAATCTGTTTTTCTCATTGTAAAGCATGAAGACCAAATAGCCCTGAATTCATTCTAACTCAAAGTGGCAACCTCTTGGGGATGCAGGAGTGCAAAAACTTGAACTTATGACTTGTGTGTGCCAAGCACAGTCCTGCCACTGAGCCACACCACCGTCTCCTACGTCATCTAAGGGCATTTCCTGCTTGTCGTCCTCCATGAGATTCAGAGAGGAGACCTCAGTTTGCCCCTGATTGTAACTTTGCCCCAACACATCTCGAGCAGAAGTGTGTCTGTATAACGAGAGAGAGATGTGATCTTTCCCGTGACTCCCCCAGGCCCTCTGAACAGAGTGAACTGAAGCTCGTGTGCGGTGGCTTTGAGAGGCCAGAGCCCAGCGGGGACGTCAGAAGCTGGAGTACACAGGCCAGCACGAGGGAGATGTGCAAACCTGGCGTGGAAACATCGGGCAGCTTCCCTGCACGGAGAGAGGAGGGTACGTGACACAGCTGTGAATGGTCTCCTCGCGTCTCCACATGGCTGCTGACCCTGAGGTCTGTCCATTCCCAGCTGGTATTGTGCATATGGCTAAAGGAACAGGGCCAGTATGCACAAGACCTTAGGCAGGCCGTGGGGAAAGGGCAGACCCAGGCGAGACAGGGCATCACACTCATAAACTGATAGTTTCTGCATATATGGCCCTGTAGTTTCTGGATCGGAGTGCTGACCCACCAGGGATCTGTTGGGCAGTGCCCCAGGAGTGAGAGCTGTGGGGACACCAGTGCCAGAGCCAGTGTAGAATAGTCTGTTCGCCCAATAGATTCTATTTTCTTGATAAACCATTTGCATGTAATTCAGTTGTTTTGCATTGAGGCTCACATCCCATGTCCATGCTAGACACGCATTTTTTGGTATTTGTTGTTATTGTTTGTTTGTTTGGTTTGGTTTTTCAAGACAAGGTTTCTCTGTCCTAGAACTAGCTCTTGTAGACCAGGTTGGCCTCAAACTCACAGAGATCCGCCTGCCTCTGCCTCCCGATTGCTGGGACCGAAGGCTGGGACTGAGGTGTGTGCCACCACCACCCGGCTTGGAGCCAATTCTTAGATGAAGGTTCTACTTGGTCCTACTGTCTGTCCACAGGCAGAACAGGCTTACCCTGTGCCTTGATGTCTCCTCGAGTGCCATGGTCGTGTTTTTACTAGCTGAGCAGAGGTGGTGGCCGTGAACGTACCCTGCCCTCCCTGTTCCCCTTCTCTACTTGTGGGAACCTCCTTGGCGCAGCATGGCCCCTCTTCTGCCTCTCCAGACAGTTACTACCAGAAGGCTGAGAAGAAGTGTGCAGACAAGTTTTGCTCGGACTCCAGCTCTGACTGTGGCAGCTCCTCAGGCAGCGTGCGGGCCAGCCGGGGCAGCTGGGGGAGCTGGAGCAGCAGCAGCTCGGACTGCGACAGGAAGCCAGTGGTGGAGGCACAGCACTTCCCACCAGCAGGTGAGTTCAGGGGCCGCACCTGCCTGCAGCCAGTACAAGGGCCAGGGTACCTTGCAGAGGACAGAGCGATGGCTGTAGCTTTGAGGCTTGGCTGCCTTGGGCTGTCTACCTCCCTCTCCTTTCTCCTCCTGGGCACTATTGTTATTACCACTTCAAAGACATAGACATCTGTATGTGCTAAAATATTAAACAGAACCCTTCTAAACCACTTTTAATTTACTGTACAAATGTACAGTAATACCATTAATAGTTCTATTATATATTACCTGTTAATATATGTTAATAGAACTATTAATGGTATTTATTAATAGTTCTTCGAATGTTACTCCTTTTTTCCAAACAAAACTGTCCTATGTTTTCTCAAAGTAGGTTTTTCTTTCAAGCCCCGTGTGTGTATCACCAGACAAACTCTTGGTCCTGTGGCAAACAGTTAAAACTAGTGTGTCAAAACCAAGGTGCCAAAAACCTGATCCTTATGCAGACTGTTTCCACGAGGCTGAAACTGTCTCTGAAGAAGGGGCCGGTCTGTTCATTGAAGCTAACCTCAGACAACCTCTGACAGTGTGTTGCTTTAATGCAGGAGACGGCGTTTCCCCACAGGACTTCCCCTCGGAAGCCTCCATCCCCTTGAACCTCTCCCACCACATCTGCAGCCCCGCGTAAGTTCTGAGGATCCTCCCTGCCACAGTGTGGCATTGTTTTCTCTGCTAGTGAGGTGTTTCTCGGTGCTTTCTCTGTAGGCTGAGCCGTGAAAGCCTTTTTAAAGACACAGGAAAGCAAACTCTGACTGTAGATAACATGTTCAGGGCTTATGTGGGGGAGTCTCTGGCCTTGTTGTCCTCTCACCGAGGTGACAGGCTGGGAAATGTGTCACCTCTCAAAGCAGAAAGAGGAGCCATCTCCCCGGGCCAGGACTTGAATTCAGTCTGAGCACCAGTGGTTCAGAAAACCTCCAAGGAACTAGTAGGACATTTGTAGTTCCTCTGTGTGATGCTCTAGATCGATGATAATAATAATAATAAAGATACAGTTGCCCCTTGGTATCAGTGGGCAGTAGGTAGATTCCAGGACCTGCATACACTCCCAACTCTAAAGATAACTCAAGTCCCTCATATAACATGGATAGTGGCTTATGCCTGTTACCCTGGTACTCAGAAGACTGAGGCAGGAGGATTGCCATGAATTTGAGCAACCTGGGCTCTATAGTGCTAGGTACTAGACTGGCTAGCTAGTTAGATGTGGTGAAACCCTGCCTCAAAATAACTACAAAATGAAAATATTTTCATAGAACTCTTCATGCCGATCCTCCCCTGTGCATTGCATCATCTCTGGATTGCTGGTAGGGTTAATGTAATGACCGTGTCTTATAAATTGAAGTCACACTACCTTGTTTGGGGAATAGTGACTAGAAAAGTGTGTGTGTTTTCAGTACAGACTCAGCCTTTGTAGGTCTGACTACACAGTCCCTGGTAGCTGCTGGACAGGTAGCTGCTGTCCAATGCTTCCTCCAGATATCTTCAGGCCACACACACACACACACACACACACACACCACACACCACACACCACACACCACACACACACACACACACCCCGCAGAGCCTGGGATGCCTGAGGGCCAGCTGTAAGAATGCAGCATCAGCTCCAAGGACAGAGGGCAGGCTAACACCTAAGAAAGCTCCCTGTGAACTGTCTGTTGGTGAAGGTGCTGCTGTCTGTACAGGCAGACTGGAAGCTGCAGCCGACCTCACAGTAGTCCAAATGGTTTGTTCAAGCAAGACATGGTGGTGTTCCTCAACCCCCTCCCGGCTTTGTGAATCTTAACATCTGTGTGGTTCTCACGGGACTTCTGTGGGGCTCAGATCTGGTTATGCGGTGTTTGGATTTCTTTGTGTGGAAAATGACGGTTTCCTGTCCTCCCTCTGCCCATAGCGATGCGAGTGGCCTGTCCCAGTTCACAGAGTCCTCCTCTGCCAGTCTTCCTGCCGTGCCCTCAGGTGCTGGAGAAGAGAAAGGTGAGGCTCACTGTGGCGGGAGTCAGCCAAGGGCCGTGTGTGTCTTCCTGCCTGGGAGCTGGAGACGGCACCTCGGGTGGGCTGTCTCCAACCTTGTTTGCCGGCATGAGGAGGGCAGCTGCTCTTTGGAGAGACAGCAGGTGCCCTGGCTGACCATCCTGCACCACTATGAACACCCTTGGTAGTCAAGAAGCAGACTGATGTTCCGTAGCCCTTGTCAGATCCTCCCTCTGCGCTGAGCTCACTTCCCCAGTAAGATAGCAGAAAACAGGTGGCTGTGTGGCCCAGGAGAAGCAAGAGTGAGGTAGGGACAAGCCGGGACAGCCGGCTTCCTGTCCCCATCTGACCCTCCTCTCCCCACCCCCCATGCGGGAGCCCCTTAACTGGGCCCCTGCAGCCTGGGTGAACAGCCTGGCTCCTAAACTAGGATGGAGGCAGAGTTGACGCCTGCAGGGGGTACGACAGTGACCCCAGACTGGAGACTGAGGGGGTCAAAGGGAACCCCTGCTTTAGCGTGGGGTCCCCTTGTTTTGTTAGGGTTTCTATTACTATAAAGAGACACCATGTTAACCACAGCAACTCTTATAAAGGAAGACATTTCATCATGTCTGGCTTACAGTTCAGAGGTTTAGCCTGTTATCTTCATGGTGGCATGCCGGCAGACATGGTGCTGGAGAAGGAGCTGAGAGTTCCACATCTTGATCCGCAGGCAGCAGAAGCAACTATGTCACTGGGAATGTCTTGAGTGTAGATGAAACCTCAAAGCCCGCCCCCACAGTGACACACTTCCTACTCCAACAAGGCCACACCTCCTAATAGTGCACCCCCCATGGCCCAGCATTCAAACACATGAGTCCATTGGGGCCATACCTATTCAGACCAGCACACTCCCCACCGCCAGTTCTCAGCTTTTCCATTCTCTTCCTCTTAGTCTTCTCTCTGTTCTCTGGTGACCTGTTTTATTATGGGACTTCTTCCAAATCAGGGTCAGGAATCATGGCAGGACATGTGTGGTGTTTGCTCTTCATGGCAGCATTAGCTTTGGCCTGCATGCTCGCTTCTGTGCCTAGAAATTCATGACAGACGGGATGCCGCAGTGCAGAGACGGCCTGGCAGCGAGGGTGCAGTCCTCCTAAACTAGCAGCTTGTGTGACAGAATGGGGCCTAGGTCCCCAGAGGGATGGTTGCAGTTTTGTCTTAGATGTAGGGCTGTGCCAGCTGCATCAATGTCTCCCTTAGTGCCATGTATCTTGAACAAGGTGGGTATAGATGTGGCAGAGAGAAACCTTGAGCCTGGGGACCCAAGTCTTCTCTCCAGTGGCAGGGTGCCTGCCAGTTGCTCTGCTGGAGGCCCAACTCTCCACGGCTTTGACTTAGCGAATGTCTCTGGAAAGATCGTCCAGAGTAGGCCCCAGTGCAGAAATGGGTGTACCCGTGGGAACCTGTGCCCACACTCCTGATGCTCGCCATCCAAGGCTTTCCTGCCAAGGCACAGTGCCTATCCTGTCAGCCTCTAGTCCCTCCCTCCCTTCCCGGACACTAGTGACCCTCAGCCACACTTCCAGCAGAATGTTCCTCAGTGGGGCCTGGACCACCCAGCTGAAAATTGCCTCACGGGCTCTGCCACGCTGCGTGTCTGCTCACTTGAGCATCCCTCCTCGTTCTCCTCAGGTCTGTATCCACCTGGAGGCCTGTGGCCATCCCAGCCCGTGTGTCTGACCAGCAGCTTCAACTGCCCCGTGGAGAGCGATGTACCAGGCACATCACAGGAGCCTGCCGCCATCCCTGACAGGTAGGCCCACTGCACCATACAACTCTGCTTGGCCTAAGGCCCTGCAGCCAGAGCTGTTAGGGCCTCGTCACAGGCACCAGGACAGGGCCTTGGAGCTGCGTGTTTTCTGCCTTCTGAAGTTAAGTTGTGCTGTTTAACAAAACAGCCGTGTGAGAAATGTGGAATCAAAGCAGTGAATCAGGCGGCCCCACCAGACTTTCCTCCGTAGGCTGACTTCATGCATGGGACATGTTTAAAGATGTTCACATTTCCTACTCCCTGGCAGATCTTCATCTTCCCGTGGCTCATTCTTTCTTTATTTATTATTTTCCTTTTCCGTATCTCTGTGTTGCTATGAAGCCTGTAGACCAGGCTGGCCTCGACTTCACAGAGATCCACCTTCCTCTGCCTCCCTAGTGCTGGGATTAAAGGCGTGCGCCACCACTGCCTGGCCCCATGCCTCATTCTTGAACGTATTTACAAACTAACCTGGTCCGAGGTCCTGGCAGCAGAAAATTGAGACACAGTAGCAGCTGCTTCCGTGTGCCATACGGTATTGTGTTTGTCAGGGGGCCTGGCAAACGTGACATTCTGTCATCACAGGGTCCGCTTGATGCCGTGGTTTAGCTCATTGCAACAGTATTCCTGCCTATGTCCATAAGGAGCGTCTAGTCTGTAGTGGTTGCCATCCCAGCCCCAGGCTGTAATGGAGACTTGTCCAAGCTGAGTGCTGCTTGTGTTCTGAGGGACAGCTGGACTACGGTTGGCAGAACCGACACGGTGAAGCCCCTCTGATGTGTACTGAGATACTGAGGTATCCCCTGTGTTTCCATGGTACTATGACAGCTGCAGCCGGGTGCTGTGTCTAGCTAACACGTGTTGTTAGGAAGGCAGCTTACCCTTGACCCAGCCCACTGTCCTGAAGGTGGAATGGCGTTGGCAGGAAGATAAGCCAGAGGAGAGCGTAGGGCAGCAGAGCTACTGCCTCTGTCTTTACCTGATCTCTTGGTCCCTGGTTTTGAAACGAGGCCTTGTTTGTGTTTTTTTTTTTTTTTTTTTGTAGCAGTTTCATTGATTGGAGTGCAACCTGTGAGGGCCAGTTTCCCAATGTGTACTGCCCGCTGGAACTGAACGACTACAACGCCTTTCCAGAAGGTAAAGCGCCCGACCAGTGCCAGCGGCATTCCTTCCTTCCCAGAGTCAGGGCAAGGGGTGTGCGCTTACCGCACGGTGAGCAGACGGGGTGATCTTTCCTTCCCAGAGTCAGGGCAAGGGGTGTGCGCTTACCGTAGCAGCTCACTGTGAAGGAGCCAATCCTTCAGGAGGCTGCTGCTTGGGTCCACTTGTGCACGCCGAAAGAGGCGATTTTGAATGACCCCCCTCCCCAGCAGCCCTCATTCTGGTACCTGGGCTTCCATGTGTAACCATACCCCACTTGGTCCTGTTAATTTAGGTAGAGCTGAATCGTTTCTGTCTCTGTAGCCCTAACAGGGTGGTTTGTGTGTCCGGCAGCTGGGCACTCTTCAGCTGGCAAGTCTCCTATGGGGTGCAGACTTGGTCTCTCTTCATCATGTCCTTCCTCTACCCCAGTGGTGAGGGAAAGGGGCCTGGAGCAGAACAGTGGATACTTAGAGATGCTCGGCCTCAGATCGTATGCCACAGTCAGTAACCTAAGAGTCAGGGGATTTCCATGATCACCTGGAAACTGAAGGATACAGTTGGGCCAGGAGTTCTCCAGCTGGTACTGCCTTGCCCAGCAAGGACTAAGGAAGTCCTGCATCCCTGTTCTCCGTTCTGACACATGCGTCACTGCAGGCACACCACAAGGGGGCACTTGGGTCACTTTCTCCCTAGGATTTCCTTGGTGATATCTGGAAGTACTTGGTTTCCAGTGACTTTACAGGGGCTGTGTGGTACACATGCTGGTGGCTGGAGTTGGAGGGGCAGGTGATGAACAGAGTGGGCTGGGACTCCATGACCCGCACTGCGCGCCTTGGGGGCATTAAGGGTGGGTAAGGATTTTGGACTGTTCATTTCTCGGTAAATTTTGCATATTAGAAATATCCCATGAAATGAGCCAGTACAGACACCTTAGCCCAACCAGGCGTTGCGTCTTAACCGGCGGGGACGCACACAGGACTCCGTGTAGTAAATCCCAGGAAGTTTTCTATCCAGGAATGATAGCTCAGCGCTTTGTGAACGCATTCCTCCTACCCTCCCTCACAGAAAACATGAATTACACCAATGGCTTCCCCTGCCCCTCCAAAGTTCAGACCGACTTCGTTGGCCACAGCACTCACTCTACCTGGAACTCCCCAGCCAGCGACCCCACTGCCTGGGAGCACACCAGTTTCGTCAACTCTCCGGTGAGTGCCGCTCTCCCCCTCCTTCCTTCCCTACTCTCTTCCTTGCTCCTTCCAGCAGTGAGTTCCCCTCAGGCAGAGCTGGTGGGGTTCACACACAAGAGCAGTGGCAGCATCCTGAAGCACCCGTGTAGACAGATGGGAGGGGCCTGTGGCCCAGGCAGGAAGTGAGTCTGTGACACAGCTGGGCTGGAGGTGACACAGAAGTTCCACAGGTCAGTCAGGACTGCCCAACACTTTGCCTTCTCATGTCCACCCCCACATTTTTTTTTCACACGAAGGACATGGCTGAGCCCTCTGGATTGAAAGTAGACTTAATCAAGTACGTGAAAATGTCATAGCCTCCTAGAACAACCCAGAATGTTTGGGAACACTTGCACAGCTCTGGGGTAACGGGGTAGACAGGACACGGCCACATCCCCTGGGTGTCTGGGCTGTCTCCGTGTTATACCTTGAAATCCCCTTCTTGATTTTTAACCCTTTTGCTCTTTTTTTCCCCTTCCTCATTTCCACTTCAGTCCTACCTCACCAGCACCCGAAGTTTGTCTCCCATGTCTGGACTTTTTGGTTCCATCTGGGCCCCACAAAGCGACGTGTATGAAAGTTGCTGCCCCATCAGCCCCACCACGGAACATTCGACCCACATGGAAAACCAGGTCATGTGCAAGGAGTACTACCCGGGGTTTAACCCGTTCCGTGCCTACATGAACCTGGACATCTGGACTAGCACGGCGAATCGCAGCGCCAGCTTCCCCCTGTCCCGGGACTCCAGCTACTGCGGAAACGCATGAGGGAGTCGGCTCTGAGCTGTGCGAATAAAGGGCCTTGCGTTTTGATGCCTAGTAAACTGGTTGTTGAGATAGAGTACGACATTGGTGGATATTTTGGCACTTTTATATAAAAAAATAAATGTTTGTTTGTTTGTTTTTGTTTTTTTAAATCTGGGTGCTTGTTTTTTTAACCCTTCACAAATGAGCGCCAGGGACTTGGCATCCCGGGATCAAAGCTTCCGTCGTGCAGGAAGGGGCCGGGGAGCGGCTGTGACTTCTGTCCCAGCGTCAGACCCCTGGGGACACTGCAGAAAATTTGACTTAGTCCAGCAGTGTCTCTGGTGGTCACTGCTCCCAAGGAGGACCTTGTAGGCTGTCCCTGAAGCCAGTAAGATGAAGGCTGGAAGAAAGGCCCCCCAGAAGGAAGTCCCTGCCCTGGTGGAGGTGTTTCAGGGAAGGTGCTGTTTTCTGTTGTCCTGTGGTGTCAGCTGCCCTGGCCCTTGCTAGGACGTCCGGGAAGTGGGCGTCCCTCAGCACTGGTGCCCAGGGGAGTTAACAAAGCAGCTTCTCTGCTTTTCACTGGTGCCAGAAGCCTCCTCGGAAGTGGCAGTATGTGTAAACTTTCGAAACATTTTCAACTTTGAATAAAAGCTTATTTTTATATTCACTTTGTCTTTGTTGGAGATTCAGGTTGGAGTGGCTTGTGAGTGAGGGGCTGTCCTTGTTTGTCTGCAGCGAGTTCCCGTTACTGTGGTTGGGTAGGGAGCCCCGAAGGGAGACAGATGGCGTACACGCTCAGGGCTACCCTTTTGGGGAGACAAAGCCTTCTGGGCTTGGAGTTCTGGGGAGTCCTCTGGTCGCTGCGTCAGGATCCTCCAGGGCCGAATAATGTTCATTTATTCTTATGTTTAATTTTGCTTCTAGAGAATGAGAGACAAGGACTTTGATACCTTAATACCTGTGTCCCTGGCATTAGTCACAAAAAAAGAAAAAAAAAACAACCAAGTAGAAACAGCACACATGTTTATGGGCAGATAATAAACCATGGTACATTCAAGCAACAGAATACTTCCTGTCTTAGCTAGGAATGGCATCAGTGCATGCTGCAAGGGTGAGCTTTGAAAGCGTTGTGCTGAGCGGAATAGGCCAGGTAAGTGCTGGCCAGGTGTGCCCCTGACTGAGGGCCCAGGGATGGCCAGAGGGATCCTTGGCTGAGAGGAAGGCAGGGAGGGTGTGAATGATACAGTTCCTGTTTGGGAGGACAGTTTCTGTACAGATTATGCCCATGAATTACACACAGTTAAACTGGTTAAAAGTGGGGGACGTTATGTTATGTCTGTCTACCACAGTGGGGACGTTAGATGTCTGTGCCGCCCAGGACTGCTTCTCTGATTCAGCTTTATGTGTTCATCGTCTCAGTTCCCACCAGGAAACTGAGGAAACACGGAACTTTTTTTTTTTTTGTTCTATTATATGTGCAAAATAAAAACTTCACTTTTATTGGATCTTTAACCTTAAGACCAAAATGAATTGGAAGTTACTTTTCATTTTTTTCTTCCAGCAGCTTCTTAGGGCTGGGAGCTGTCTCTGGGGCTGTGGACACACACCACAGACAGGCTGAACTTGCAAAGAATACGATGCCTTCCTGCTGCACTGCTGCCTCCCGGAAGCAGAACACTCAAGGATTGAGGCAGTCAGCCATCTGAGGGTCTGTAGGGCGGGTGCTGGCATGGGAGCACTGGGCAGCAGCCTCTTTGGAGTCATCAGGGAAAGTCTCCCGGGTGCATTTGAGGTAAAAACTTTAACCCCAAGAAAGCCGGTGTGCTACGGTCAGTGGGCACAGGTTCGCAGTGGAAACACAGCGAAAACAGGCAGGGCACTGGGGTAGCTGGGCTTACTGGTCTAGGGGGTCACAGCAGAAGGACGTAGAAGGCCAAAAGAAGGATGGGTTTTCCTCAAGTGCAGGAAGGAACCAGTGTTAATCTGTTTGAAGATCATCCAGAAGGGGCTGCTGTGGTCAAACGAAGTAGGCCCAGTGACCTGGCCTGCCTTCTCCCTGCCTTCCTGCCTGCCCTGCCTGCCGCTCACCTGTGACCTCTCTGTACCATGTCTTCCTCTGTAAAATGGGGACAGCGGCCACTCAGAACTTCATAATGGAGGCTCCCTGTGTCCTTCAGAGTCCACTCAGGATTTCCAGCCTTCCCGTCGTCTGTTTACTCCGTTTGAAAACAGGGATAATAAAACATTCACAATCCCCAAAGTCTTTCTAGGTCACCACTATTAATTAAATATAGTTAATTCTCTTTGTCAGTTCTTTCCGACTAAACTGTGTTCTATATTCTTTGTCCAAAATATGAGAAGCAAGCACACACACAAAAAAAAATCAAGGAAATATTATATAAAAATATTCTTAAACTTGAAAAAAAACTAATCTTTTCCAACTATTTTTAGCTATGTTTTTGTATAACCAGAGTAATATGGCCTGTTAAATGCTAATTGCTTTTCTTTAGTTTTCCCGAATATAAGGTATGAAAACAAAATATGTGATGAGGGAAAAACAGTAGCAGGTAATGTATACCCATGGTGTCTAGCAGGATCTTGTTAATGTATACCTGTGGTGTCTAGCAGAATCTTGTTAATGTATACCCGTGGTGTCTAGCAGGATCTTGTTAATTCTAAACCTTGGCAGGTCTTCAGGAAGACTGGGGGGGGGTGTAATCTTGCTTATCAACGCGACAGTGTCTGGAATCAACTAAGAGAAAGCTGATAGGTACACCTGTAAATGATTGTTGTGATCACTGTTGTGGTTTGAAAGTAATTGGCCCCATATGCTCATAAGGGGTGGCACCACTAGGAGGCGTGGCCTTGTTGGAGGAAGTATGTCATTGTGGGGCGGGCTTTGAGGTCTCTCTCTTGCACACAGTCTTTGCTCAGTGTGACCCTCAGACCATTTCCTGTTACCTGAGAGATTTAGAACTCTCAGCCTCAGCACCGCATCTGCCATGCTCACTGCTATGATGATAAAGGACTGAACCTCTGAAGCTGTTAGCGAGCCCCCTCAGTTAAATGTTTTCCTTATGAGAGTTTTCATGGCCATGGTGTCTCTTCACAGCACTAGAAGCCCTAACTAAGAGAAGACGGTACCGGGAGTGGGGCTTACTGTGAAGGGCTGTATCTTGTTTCTGTCTGGAGGAATTTGGACTTTGCTGCTCTGGATTAAAAAAAGCGGTGGACCTGTCTTCAGTGCCTCAGGGGAGCCTCTGTCTATCTTTGCTTCTAGGGCTACACCTGTTACTCTGACCACAGGCAGGCAAGGTTCTCCTGTTTGAGGACCCTGTACTGGAGTGAGTCTCCTGGATCATCCAAGCTCAAGGTTCTTAGTTTAACTTGGTCTTTTCTATACAAAGTCATAGGATCCAGGTAGAGGGAACAACTCTCTGGGTCATCCTTCTGCCTGTGTCAAATGCTACAAGAGTGTGGACCATCCCCCAACTGTAAGATTATTTTCTTATTCCTTTATAACTGTAATTTGCTACTGCTGTGAATCATAATATAAATGGCTGATAGGTGACCCCCAAAGGGGTCACATCCCACAGTGGGGAACCACTGCTCTTCCAGGGACATTGGTCACCCTTATTCGCAATCTCACAGTCTGTGTTTTCCGTAAACTGGGGGTCAACTATGGTTAGGACTGTTCAGTGGAAAATTCCAGAATACTTCATACTGTTCTGAGTAACATAATGAACTCTGATGCCTTTCCCCTCTGTCCTGCTGGGAATAGGGATCATCCTGTTGCCCGGGGCATCTGGTCTACCACCATTAGCAAGCGCTATACCTGGGTATCGGACTGAATGCCTCCACATCATTCTATGGTGTATCCACTCGTGGGCAGTGAACGGATTCATTCAGGTCAGAACAGAATAGGAAAAGCCAAGTTTGTTGGCTATACAACAGGGGAGCAGGACCAGGGTAGTGGAGAAGAATCGGCCACCTCTAGACGGTGGGGTGTGGCTGGTTTTATACGGGATCTGCCCACCTTTTGGTTCTTGCCCTGCAGATGAGGGACTAGAGCGTGGCCGTTCTGATCAGCCGATGTCTGACTCTGGGCAGAAGTGTTACAGACCACCAGGTCTGTAGTAAAAGGTCATAGTCATTTTGTGGTTGTAAATGGTAAGATGGAACCTTCTGAAGGTTGTTCCACTCTGCTCATGAGGTAATAGTTTAGCAGACGGGAAAACGAGACCATTCATCTGTGACCAAGAAAGTCCCCACCTCTGGCTGTGTTCAGTCAGGCCACGCCACGCCTGCAGTACACGCCTGTTCTCCCACGCAACACACGGACTCTACCTGATACGCAGGAGTAGTCGTGATGCAGGAGGTCACAGGGTCCGGAATGTGGACAGAGCAGCGGCTCCGGTGCTGATGCAGCGCAGCAGCTTGGTAAGGGGGGAACTCTGTGTGTTTCGGTGCTCTGCCACTTCCAGCGTCTATGGGGGTGTCAGAATGGATCCCTTGAGAGAGGCTAGCCGCTCAGTGGGTAGAAGTGCCTGCCCTGCAAGCCTGGTGAACCGAGGTTGATCCCTCGAAGTCATATAAAAATTAGGATGTGGGCCTCTGTGATGTCTCGGTGAGTAAGGCCACGTCTGGGAAGAAAGTCGAGTCCTGCAGGTTATCCTCTGACCTCCACACATGTGCCTTGAACACACACACACACACACGCAAATAAACATAGTAAAAATGTATAAGTAGGATGTGGTATTGGGCATCTGTAATCCCTACAGCAAGATGGGGGGCGGAGACAGGGGAATCAGCCAGAAGCTCACAGTGGCCAAGTCACAGGGAAGCAGCAGAAACACAAAGGCGATGGCACTGCCTCAGCAAGGAAGAGAGAGAGAACTGAATTCCCAAAGTTGTTCTCTGACCTCCACACATATGCCATAGCATGTGCATACACACTCACACTCACACCAGACATAAACATACCACACACACAAACACACCACACCATACACACATACCATACACCACACACGCACCACACATACTACACACACCACACACGAGCTTTTTTTCTTAAACTATACCTCTTGAGGATAACTGGACATCTACTATACCAGGAAATCTCTAGAATTTACTGTGAAAGCGAGGCATGGTGGCATTCCTCTGTATT